CTCTCGTAATTCGACATAAACGCAAAGTTTGGAGTCGTTTTAGAGAATAGGCTTTGTATTTGCGGAACTTCAATATCTTTACGAGAATACTTTTTGTATGGTGTCAATGAGACAGGAACTGACAACGCACGCAACCGGTAGAACTTAAAGGACAATTTGTACACAAGAATTCCGGTAGAAAACTAATCATGCTTATTGAAAAGTGTTTAATAGTTTTCGTTAAATAAGTCTCTCGAGTGCAATAAAGGTGTAGCGTTTTGAGCAGGTAAAATGTATACGAGTAATTTCTACTTCGAAAGTTTCGAATTCATTTATTGGCACACTTTCAGTTTATTTTTTTTTTATGGAGAAAAGAGACAAACGAACAGGAGGCTCACCTAATGTTAAGCGATAGTTCTATAATAACACGTATTGTTGCTTGTAATCCTTAGTTTAACCATTCTGTAAGAAATTTGGAATGGATATATCTTCGAGATACATTAATAGAAGGGATTCTTTCCATTCCGTTAAGGTAACCTTAATATTTTATTTCGAAGAGAAGCCCGTTCGCCTAGGTAAGAGTAATTTAATATTAGTACACAAGATTTGTTGCGTAAAGTAAAATATATAAAATAGATTACTATATAATACCGTAAAGTAAAAGTCACAGCCTATAAACGTCGTACTGCTGAGCAAAGCTCTCTTCTGTGTAGAGGATATTAGGCCATAATCCAGCACGCGACGTCACTGCGTATTGGCATACTTCACATATGTTATTATTATAATAGCCTTTAAAACACAAACGTTAGTTGAATTTAGCAATAGATACATTCTAGAATTTGTTGTAGAAACGTATACCCAAATTTTTCCATAAACGATTTACTTATTCTACGAAGTCTAGTTGTGGATAGGATTAATTTATGATTGTGAAATAATCTAATTAAGTTCGGCGATCTATTTTTACAGTAGTAGTCCTATATGGTGCACTGCTGGGCAAAGGCCTCCCCTGTACAGAGGGTGATAGGGAATAGTCCAACTCACGACCCCACTGCGGATTGTTAGACTTCACATGTTCCCAAAATATATTTTTTGATAATATGCAGGTTTCCTCACGATATTCAAATACAAAATCAAAATAATTTTTTTTTTTTTTATTCAAATAGTCGCTTGCGCGCTCTTATGAATCGTCAAATTTTACATCAGAAAATTATGTATGTACCTTCACCGCTGAACACGTAATAAGACAACACTTTATATTGCAACTAACAATATCAATGGTACCAGCGCCGGGATTTAATTTGGTCAGATTGACTCTAAAGCTTGCGCCCTAACACTAAAGTATAAAGGTAACGTGAAGAAATTAACTTTATGGTGGGGTATGGTTCCGATTTTGGTAGCAAATTCACCACAAGCTACTTTTTGGAATGAAGAATACTAGAAGTTTCTTAAAACGTGCCGTTATTTAAATTCCCATTCTAAGGTTAATATGCGTCATGATCCTGGTGCCTATACCTCAACTTAGCTCTTAGCTAAGTTGAGGTATAGTCACCACGCTTAGCCACAAAACTCCGTCCTGTAAAATTCCCTAAACTTTTGTCATACACGGCTTGTGTACGTATATTTATTTATTATATTCTTTATTGAACACCAAAAAAACATGAAAGGAAATGTTACAGAACTATAAACTTAAGAGGTATAAACAATAAGGCGGTCTTATCGCTAAGGAGCGATCTCTTCCAGACAACCTTGTGGTTAAAAATATTTAATTTGGACAACGGTAGGTGGTGTAAATGATAAACTTACATACTAATATTTAAATAAACTAAACGAATATGTTGTATTTTTGTATAATAATAATATACTAATATATACGAAATAAGATCCAATAGACATACATAAATCTAAACATATACTGTACAATAACTTACAAAAATATATACAGGAAGAAAAGAATAAAAAATAAATATACAAATGTCGTCGGTGATAATCAGCTTGAACACAGTGACAGATAGTATATCTTCTGCTCACGTAGCAACAAACTGGAATAATAAAAATAAGTTCATCAGACTCGCAACCCTCGCATTGCAACCCTCTCTCGTCGTGAACACAATGAATTACCCAAATCCACGGACTGAAAGTAAAAATATTATTTAAAGTAAACTAATGCACTAATACAATACTAAAAGATCTTTAAGAAGTGTCTTAACAAATTTCGAATTAGAATTCCACGAGGGCTCACAATAGTTTCTTCGTAATATTTGTGACGAAGCAAAGGATAATAAAATTCTTTCCCTTTGTTAGGCATTTCTGTACGCAAGCCGAATGTCTTGCAAACATTTCACGTATTATTATTTGATAAGGCAACCTCATGTTAGTTTATCCAAAGAGCTAGAGTTTGAAACATTCATTATAATTCTGCTGTAAGTTTAAAATAACTTTCTCCGTGTAATTGGTAATAACGCAATGCTTATTTATTATATTATTCATTAATATTTTAATAATATTACAATTTTACATATTACGTTATATGTATAAATATACATAATTATATGCTAACAGTAAGTGCTAATAAAATGGCTTCGGGGTCAGGAGTCGTAGGTCAATTCCCGCTGAGGGCAAATATTTGTGTGAACAAGAGTTAATTGTTCTAGACGTGGGTGGTCCCGAGGAGGGCTGGCGTCAGGCTTAATCACTGGTTGCTAGTGATTCACATCTTGTGCCGACCCTAGCTAGGTGGGTAAAGGGCAGGAGTACGATAATAACTAACCCCACAAAGAGTTGAACATATGAGGGATTGTAGTATATTAAATGTAAATATAGTAGGAAGGTAACGTTATACACATTTAACACTCGGAAACAGACTGCCGCGCCCGGCAGTACATACATAACATTTTGTATTTTTGTCTACCCACAATATACGCTACATCCCTCCAAATAATTACAAACTATATAAAAACAGATAGTATAAAACAGATACAAACAGCTTTACACAACAGAATAAAACAGAGTACAACAAGTATGCAAACAATTTAACAATAATAGAATGTTATCAAAATGTATACTTAGGATTATTATTTCTAGTCGATCTTATAGGATAACGGTGTTCATTTTCGCTCGTTAACAAAATATCATAATCATATATAATCAAGAAAATCAAATATAATATCAGAATACAATCAACAAACTCATCCTCAAATTCTCCCTCTGACGCCAAATTTACACAATATACTCTACAGGGAAATTATGACGGAAATAGTAATAGGAACGTTGTCTCCAGCCCTGTTTCCGGACCGATACGACTTAGGGACCTTCAAGAAGGGTGCCTACTCCTACCTTAAAAACCGGACTTCGGAAATCCATACTTCCATACTAATATTATAAATGCGAAAGTAACTCTGTCTGTCTTTCACGCCAAAACTACTGAACCGATTTAAATGAAATTTGGTACACAGATAGTCTAGAGCCTGAGAAAGGACATAGGCTATTTTTTAATTGTATTTTTTTAAAGAAAGATATTTATTTAAGGGCTTCAACGCGAGCGAAGCCGAGGGCGATATGCTAGTATTTATATAAATAATAATAATAATAAAATATCTTTATTCACATAGACGCTTGCGCGTTCTTATGAAACGTCAAAATTTTACAAAGAAATTAACACGTTCGTAAGTTACCACCGGTTCGGAAAGCAGTTTCGGTTGAGAAGAAACCGGCAAGAAACTCAACAGTTGCTCTTTTTAAAAAAATCAGTTTACAATAGTACAGGTACAATAGTCTTGTTTAGCCTACGTGAGTATCAACAGTATTAACCCCACACATTGGCGTCGTCAAGATATTAGGCAATAGTATAATAGGCTTTAGCCATAAGTTTACTTTTAATTTTTAGTTTAAATTCATCAAGTGGCAGACTTAATATCGACTGTGGGATTTTATTATACATGCGCACACTTTGCCCCATAAACGACCTGTTTACTTTATGTAAACGAAACAATGGCGTAGTTAGTTTGTCCTTATTTCTAATATTTAGTTTATGTCTGTCACTATTCTTTAGATAATTATTAATATTATGTTTAACATACAAAATATTACAATAAATATATTGAGACGCAACAGTGAAATAATAAATAACAAAATAAAGAATTTTCTGCCCCGCACAACTACTTCATGGAACGAGCTGTCGCCAGCGGTATTTCCGGACGGTATTGGGACTCCACCGATGTTGCAAACGTCCATGGGCAGCGGTGACCGCTTACCATCAGGTGAAAAAAAATTGTTTCGTTTTCATACCGTGCTACATGAAATACATCACTATATGAATAAAATGGTAGAGCTCTAGAGTTGTACGGGCTGCACGAAAAAACTACTGGACATATTTAAATCCATTCTCCTTATCGAAAAAAAAATATTGTGATATCTACATTGAATGTAAAGTTATTAAATTTTTAGAAGCAACTATTAATGAGCTTAAGTATTCAGTGATATGTGTATTCTTGCCATGCTAAATAAAATACATTGTTAATATAAAAAGCAACGTTAACAGTTATACTGGAGGTAAAATTCATTCGGATCCGAAACTGGTTTTCAGACCGGCCCGCACTTCCAGGCAATCAATTTCTAATTTAAATAACGAACTAAAGGTGACATATTCCAATACATTTGGCTGTGATTTCCTAGTCGTATAGGCAAGTTATGTTAGACCTGCACTTTGTTGTGTCAGATCTCTTCAGAATAAGATGGGGTGTTATCATATAAAGAAAACATCGATTTCAATACCATCAATATATTTTAATACAGTCACAATATCATCTTGAAGATTCTCTCCAACAAAATTTCCCTCTCACCGAAAAAGCCGATCGGCACTAAGTCCCAATACAACGTAAAATTTCCTGCCATCACATCACATTCAAACGATAACGTCATTCTAGTGCAAAATATCATCACTAGCAGACCAATGCGTGACTGTCCTAATGGTATCGATGATGAGTAGGGAATAAACACACTAGCGTCGAAAGCACCGAGTGTCAGTGCAACGCTACCTGCATCACTGGCACGTTGCTCGGCGTCTGGTAGTAGTGGGGCGGCTCGTTGAGGGTGGTGGCGCCGATGACGTCACCGGCCGCCACCAGCAGCAGCCGCCTGCGTCGGTGGTGACGCAGCAGTGACGTCACGGTGATGAAGCTCCGCTCGCCGCGGCGCGCGTAGCCCAGAGCCAGCCTCCCGTCTGGGCGTCGACGGACCCCCACGTTATGGACCGCCCCGGCACAGGACACGCTGAGCGTGTATGCGTGGTTCGGCTGTTGGATTCAAAGTTAAAATCAAAATTCAATACTAGCTGTGCCCGGGACTTTGTCCGCGTGGAATTATATTACCTGTACAGACAAATAAAATTGGATTTTTTGTTTATAATATTCAAATAACTGCTTTTAACTTAATGCTTATTTTATATGTACCGTATAAACAAAATGAAATTTTTTACAATTTTTGTCTATCTGTCCGTCTGTGTGTTCTGGCTAATCTCTGAAAAGGCTGGACCAATTTTGACGGGACTTTCACTGGCAGATATTTGATGTAATAAGGAAAAACTAAGGTTACTTTTATTTTAGACATTTTATTTATTTTTGTTAATATATGAAACATAATTCGACGCAAACGAAGTCGCAGACATAGCTAGTAGATAGTAGTAATAGTAAATAACACAACAATAAAACCAAAATTAAACACGAAATCCATTGAATCGGATTTGAAAAATTAAAATATTTTTTCAGTATTGAATGAACTTGGCGCCTGGCGGGTAAAAATAGCAATAAACTGCATATTTTAAAATTGCGTCTTTCTTTTTCCCGTAAACTTCCTAGAACTTTTAAGAAAACATCTTCGTTTTGTGCATTGTGTTTCATTTAGCAGAAAGGTGTAAGCTGCATTAAAAATAAACCACAGATTTTTGAATAAATAAATACGAATCTTTCTGAGATGTAACAACTTTTAAAGCTAGATATAGGTTACCTACCCTCAGATTTATATCGAAACTTATTGCTGTCATTGACATCTCACAGATGCATTAATTCAATTTACAAGAAGAGATAAGCAAAGACTATTGCGAAGAAGGACCTTGTTACTTTACATAACTATTTACAAATTATGAAAACTAAAATAACCAAATCCCAACCAAAAAGATCAAAACTTTTTCTTCGTCGTTAAGTTATATTCGAGAAAACAGCTAAGAAAGAAAGCAGGCGAAAATACACGAAATAATACACAGGCAAGGAAAGGGTTGACACGCATAATAAAAATAAAATCACTCGGAGGGTGCCCAAAAGAGATCGGTCGTCTGTGAAATAGGAGAGCGCTTTCAATGATGTAGGAATTCCTCGACTTCGGGGAAACGAAAAACAAATTGGGTACCGCGGTGCGAACTTGTTTTACGACTTTGACGCGGTCCGTGGGAATTGTATGCCGAATGGTGCGAGCTCGGGGTTTGCGATAAACGTAGGGCTGCCCGTATCGTGTGAACGTACCTTCCTTTTGATGTAGTTTACGGAATTGAGAAGATTTTCTAGATTAAATTACGACAACCCACGCCTCGGGCTTTTGGTTAACCTTAACTTCGAAAATTGACACCGAATAGTCGGTTAGCGTTGCAAGGTCATCTTGGCCAATTTTTGTGGATGTAAATAGATAACTATATGTCATCTATGCAGGTCTATCCACCACGAACCACTGTAAGATTTATGTAACTTTTTGTTGACATTTTTGAGTCAGTTTCTGATTTAGATAGTCCTAAATTAATGGTGGTCCAGCAAGATGTTGGTGTACATAACTTAATAGGTTTAATTTCATTAACTTACGCCCTCTCGAACAGAACGGACATACACACCCTTCATAGTATAAAACAAAGTCATACCGCTGTCCGTCTGTCCCTATGTATGCTTAGATCTTTAAAACTACGCAACGGATCTTGATGTGGTTTTTTTTTTTTACTAGATAGAGTGATTCAAGAGGAAGGTTTATATGTATAATACATTGCACCCGTGCGAAGCCGGGGCGGGTCTCTAGTATTTTAATGAAGTAATCGTCCTGAAGCCTTTAGGATTTACATAGAGAATAACAAATTGCCAATCAATTACCATATACCATACTGTTATTTCTGTTAAGAAAACATTACATTTTCATATATTATCATGCTTCTACTTTCATCCGCTGCCCTACCCAACGCGGAAGGCCGTACCAAGCTCGTAGGTTCTTGATAGCAAAAGAGTAAACTAGGTATTTCGCAATTTAAATCAGAGTTCTGTTAGTTCGTTTAGATTTTCTTGAGATTATTTATTTTAATTATACGTACTTTAATACATATCAAAATTAAAAAAAAAATGTACATATGGTTTTCTTATATTAATTATTTGTCTTCATTGTGTTTTATGTTCTCCTTGATGGACTTTTAAATATCATATTTTACTTTAGTCCGTATTATTTTATGGGATGTAAATAATGTCAAGTATGTCAAGTAATTACTGCCGCCTGTGGTCATTTATTGCAAACGTGGGGTCCCAGCTGTGTAGTCGTAGTTGTTTAAGGAAGTTGCCCCTGTATTACTTAACTCACCAGATGAAATGCAAAAGTATAATTTAATGGCTACCACGAAGCTCCACCATAGCAAACCGCTCCGTAGAGTAAGTGTAGCAGAGCCACGCAACAGTCTTCGCTGTTGCACGAATTGGGAGGTCCATCCGAGAAAGTACCACGATCTTACAGAAGACTGGCATGAAGTACAAGAGTTATACTCCTCCGTTCCGTCTGTTGAGTTTGGTAGCCGAGGTCCAAAGTATTAAAAGGTGGCAACGCATCTGCAAACCTACGAGTATTGCAAATGTTTTCAAACGGCGGCTATCACTTAACATCAAGCGATCCGTCAGCTCGCTTGCCGTCTTAGACAAAAAATCACGCGTTCGATTGTTGATGAAATGAAATATAAAATCTCACCTGGCTCGAGGGTCGAAGCACGAAGGTGCCGTCCGGCTGCCCGTGAAGCAGGTTCTCCGCTTCCCCCCTGTCCACGTCCATGAAATACGGCTCGTTCTCCACGGGCACCGGCAGAGGCCGAGCAGCCATGCTCACCTTCCCGCTGCCCCATCTGTCCTCGTGCTTGGAATCGCTCTCCGACTCTTCAGAGTGCGCCTCGTCATTAGTCTCTGAGGTCAAGTGAAATACCTTTTTACTAAGTAAATATTTCTTTCTTTCTTTCTCTATCTTTTGATATAAATGGTACCAAAGCTCTTATAAACATCAAACTACAAAAGTAACATAATAAATATAAATAAATAAATATTTTAGGACACATTTTTACACAACATTCTCTAGTCCCAAACTAAGCAAAGCTTGTACTATGGGTACTAGAAAACTGATAAACATACTTAAACATATTTTTCTTTTGTAAATAAATACATATTATACATATATTAATACCCAGACACTAGAAAAATACTATGTTCATCACACAATATTTATCCAGTAGTGGGGATCGAACCCACACCCTCTGGCGCAGGAGGCAGGTACACTACCCACAACGCCATTCAGGTCGTCGGCAGCATCAACACAAACATCAACAACATATAAATATCCCACATTAGCCACGTAACAGCTACCGTACGAGCCGAGGTCCGGCCCTCTCGGGCACCCTCGGATCGGAATGCTAAACGGTCTCTGAGTAACAGCCCAAGCCGACGTCCACTCTCGGGGGCCCTTGGACTACTTACTCCATGGAGCGTCCGCCAAAGCGCCCTAAGAGCTTGACGGCCTCCAAAACAGGTGAAAATAATAATAGCATAACGACCAGAGCCATGACGCCCTCGGTAGCCCGCGAGCTTAGTTTACTATATTGTTCTCGTTCTTTTTAGGGTTCCGTACCCAAAGGATAAAACGGGACCCTATTACTAAGACTCCGCTGTCTGTCTGTCTGTCTGTCCGTCTGTCACCAGACTGTATCTCATGAACCGTGATACTAAGACAGTTGAAGTTTAGCAGATGACAAAACATTGATGACTTATATATATATATATATATATATATTATATATATATATATATATACATATGTTTAGATCTGCACGAACAAGTCTGTGAATAAAATTGCCTTATAAACAATTATCAGCAGCATGCAAAACCACGTTCTTTTTAGGGTTCCGTACCCAAAGGATAAAACGGGACCCTATTACTAAGACTCCGCTGTCTGTCTGTCTGTCTGTCCGTCTGTCACCAGACTGTATCTCATGAACCGTGACACTAAGACAGTTGAAGTTTAGCAGATGACAAAACATTGATGACTTATATATATATATATATATATATATATATATATATATATATATATATATATATATACATATGTTTAGATCTGCACGAACAAGTCTGTGAATAAAATTGCCTTATAAACAATTATCAGCAGCATGCAAAACCAGCAATTCGCCACATCTTGGTCCAATAATTCCTTCGTCTGTGCCCAACGCCTCCCTTTCAGACTGGAAAACGGTTCTTATTTTTAACAAGCTTTTTCGTATTTATTTTCATAACCAGTGGTTAGCTGACTTTTTTGGAGAGTTAGTCTATTATTAGTCTTCTAGTAGAGAACCACCCATCTCACCTGCGACAACGTCAGTGAGACAGTGAAAGAGCCGGTAGAAGGCGTCCACAGCGCCCTCGCCGATGCGCGCACCCAAATTGTACATCAGAGGGACGCTCACTTTGATCCACCAACACATTTTAATGTCTTCACCACTCACGCCATGTCAGTTTTAAATAATACATCTGTTTATTCTTTTCAAGGTACCCGGGTTATCGATAAACTTGTAATTTTGATTAGAATATTCATTACATAGACTACACAAACAGTCCCATTAAGTACTTCAGTAAATATCGAAATCTGAAAATGTGTTTTGTTTTAAATGTCGAATTTATTGACGGGGATCAGTGTGAACTTATCTTCATCTTAAAAACATTACCCAACTATATTTAACATGACTGTGACAAATAACTGTAACGACTACCATTTCTAACACATAACACCATAGTCACCGGTTAACGAAAAGGGGAGTTATTTTTGCGAATAAATTTCAAAAATATATATCACGTCGCATTACTTCCAACAAATAACCTCGGATTTCAAGGTCCTTTCAGCGACAGTAACAGACCTTCAGGAGCGGGGAAATCAAGGTCGCGGCCAGACGTCTCCCGAATAATCAAGCACTGCGTCATCTCCTCGGGTGTCGGCTGTTAGTCACAATTAATGAACACAAATGAATCACTTGTAGCCCCTGTTAGGACGGTTGCTAAGCAACCTCGGATTGGTACACGAACGCTATACTCCGTTTACATTAATGCCAAGCTTCGATATAGCGCTTGTTTGCTAAGCGAGATCGATTAGATACATCATTAAACGCGTAAGTAATGAAGATGTAATATGGATTTTATTATACAGCACGTGAAAAGCAAGCGGTCCACCACCACCACCCATGGACACCAATTACATCATCATCATTGCATCCTATTTGAGCCTACTGCTGAACATAGGCCACAGACTGCCACAAAGCACTATGTAATTAACGCCCATCGGTGTAGAATGACATCCAATACTATCCTCGTCTATCATAGATTATGCCAAAGCGTGTCTAAATGACAATAAAAGTATCCATTATTATTTCGATAGAAATATATAACAAAGTCAATGCACGACTTATTAATTTGTTCAAACCTAGCTCCAAATTTTAAGCCGCGCTTTCGTCTGTCAATATTTTCGTCACTTTACTGCAGTCGGTCAGTTTACTACTCAACACTTTAACACAGAAATCCGGCTGCTATCTGTTAACATTTGTTCCATCACACATCACTATTCTAACAAATACTATATCAAATCACTTTTATCTCTCAACGTTGCAACAACGCTCTATAAGAATGCTTTTCCAGCATTGTGTGTTTTTACAATAACATCAACGTTAGCACAAAGCGTTTCAAACAACACGGTACGTGTAAAACATTCTCATTAACTATCTCAACTAAAAATGTCCCACAAACGAATGTTTTTATTTCATTTCATTAATAAAAATCCAACGACGCATCCAGTGATGTGGATTAGTATCGATATGTATAAAAATATATATTTCAAACGTCCAAAATGAAAACAAAATTAAATGACAATAACATTATTATGCGTACAAAGTTTTATTGGTCCAATTAACTTTATATTAGAAAGATATAACTAAAATGGCATGTATTGACGACAGTCACAGAGGCAGAGAATATTCACGTCGTACCTTGAGTTATTTATATATGCCAAGATCTCTACACATATATTAATAATTATTCTAATTTTTTAAAGATAATATATTGCAAGCGTATGACCGCATTTCCAAAAATAAATAATAAAAAATTTTTATTTACTATAAATTTTTAATAAGTGATGGTATCGATATTGTATTCTTTAAGGCCTTGATTTTAATACATTATATTAAAACTATTTTTTTTATAACTAAAAGCGTATTTGTTAAATAACTTGTAACATAACATGTATTTTGTTAGAACATACATCAATAACATAATACTGTACTCCTGTCGGTATTACAATAATCTAGCACATCACTAAACAGATGTCGTCCATATGATGCATCGGCGAAGCAAAAAGGAAGCAACGAACGTATATTATGAGAAACTTAGAGTAGAAACGACCGTTTACAATATCCTTATGGGAAATGTTTTATTTAAAACTATCAGAGAAGAACTATAAAAACTGTAAAAAGGTACAACAAAAAGGTGCATTTTAGTAACAAAAATACATCCGATTTCAAATGTCTATCTCACTATTCATTTTCAATTTGAGTTTGACGAGTGATTTAGTGTATCCCCGAAGATCATGGTCCAGTACCAATAAATTTAACATCGGACTATACCGATATATATATATATATATTTTTTTAAAATTGTAATTTTTTGTGATGCACTAATAATTCCGACGCTGCGGGATTCGAATCTTCTGGTTTCGCATCCAGACGCTTTAACAACTAAGCTAAGAGGTCGATAACCTCACGGCTCGCAAATCTTGACAACTATCTACGTTCGTCCCATTGCACTTTTAGCAATGCTTGGCGAGATCGAGTTTGCATCCTGTACATACATACAGCATACAACACCTCACAAATAACATTGGACGATGAGTATTTGTAACGAGAGATGTCACCATTGCTTTTAATTTTTTTTAAGATTAATTTTTATTTTTAGTGCGTAGAGTTCTGAGGTAACAGACATAAACAAAATTAACGACCTACTATTTTTTTGATGTGGCTTGATTTATGCGTTAACTATTGCTTTACATACACCGAAGTCAGTAATAACCAAACTTATTTAATAACAGATATTTCTTCGCTAGAAGCTTCGGAATACGCAACGTTTGCTTAAATGTAGATGACAATTTAAGAGCATTCTTGTATCGTCTTCTCGTATTTTTCATCAGCATTCCAATTGACGGCGTAAATAATTAAACGCGCTCCCGTGTTAAACCCATCGTTCCGTACAACTTATTACATTTCGCTAATCTCATTGGGCGAACTCATGCCGTCCGCGGCGACGCCTGTCACACCGAACTGTAAACTCTAACAGGTCTCTGTTCTCGTTTGAATAATAAACGTGTAAGTTCTATTACTTAGACGCTCGTTCCTCCTCTAAAAGAAAATGTTGCGATATTTATCAACTATACACAGTTATCAAAGTTTTTAGAAACGACCACTTTTTATAAGCACTCGGTGTTCAGTGTGCGTTTTCCGTGGCAAAGCGTGGCAAGGAAACGCAAGTAATTAAGGGGGTGTAGTTTCTTATTTCTTTCTTTTCTTTTTCTTTTTTTTTTAAACATTGCCCTTAATTTAGGATAAAATTATCCTGTGTTGTAAGGACGTTTGACAAACATAAATTTCACTCGGAAAAACACCCAGATGCGAAACAACTATCTGTGGGTCACACAAATAACTAGTTGTCCCGTTTGGGAATCGAACCCACGACCCGCAACGCCGAAGCCGATACCAAGGCGACTACGCCAAGGAGTCATAACATAATACGCAAGGCAGACTAGGGTAAGACTCTCGAGTATCACCTATATTTTTTAATATTAGTAGAAATATATTAGGCATGTAGGACAGCTGTGCTCTCTAATATTCTCAGTCTTCCGTTAAAACTGTTAATTATATAAAATTTAGACTAGACGAGATCTGAACTCCAAAAAAAATGTATTGGTCATCATTAGGAATCAGGGAAATGAAAAAACAGATACACTTATCTATGACATTTAAAAATATGAAAAAAATGACATTTAATTAAAACGAGTTACTGAAACCTGATGGAAAATGACATCTCTCACACGCTACTCGGTGTAACAGATGCCGCGTTGAAATCCGTGTCGGAAATTACGTCGAATGGCGTTATTCGTTATTATCATCATTTCCCCCGGCCGCGACACACTTCGGGCCCTCGCAGGGCGTAATATCCGATTCTGAGACAGAGAGCATGTAGACCAATGTGTCTTGGGATCGTTACCCATCTCAGTATAGAATGGGCTTTAATAGTAAAGATATATATCTTCTACATATACAATTCTTCTGTGTGTGTGTGTAACTCACTGAACTCCTAAACGGCTGGACCGATTTTAAAGAAATTTTCTGTGTGTCTTCTGGTCGATTCGGGAATGGTTTAGATACTCAATTCGGTCCACTACATTTTTTTTTAATTTTAAGTTGTTGTCGTATTTAAGTCGTGTGTACAGAACAACGTCTTCCTCACATACTACACAAATCTTGTGTAAATTCGGACTTATGCCTGAGGCATTCTCTACCAGCTATCAATACACACAACAGATTGACTTGTGGATAATGCGCAAAGTCGTGCTATCCTCCATGATGGGCGGAAAATACAAAGAGTGCAAAGATAAAGAAGTATCTTATGGGTTTTCACAAATAAATTCTCCAAAATTAAATCTTACTGGAGCTCTGTAAGTTACAAAATTAGATATTGTATAAGTGTTTTGTATAAGTAATAATGTAGAAGCATTTTGACAAAAAAAAAATAAGTGGAATGTTTGTGACATTTGTCATAAAATGGACAGTAAGAATGAAATTAATTAAATAACCGATTTCATACATGCCATTAGGAGGATAACATTGTCGTTTGTATCATATTGAAAATTATCTTAATACAGAGTAACATGTCATACCAGAAACCGGTCAAGTAAGAATCGGACTCGTTCATGAAGTGTTTTGTACCATTATTAATAAAAATGCCTAAAAAATCGTGTCTGTTGTGTGAGAACTTTGGGAGTTTTTATTCTAGTTTTAGTATTTGTGTTTTAGCGGCAACAGAAATACCCCGTCTGTGAAAATTTCAACTGTCTAACTATAACGGTTCATGAGATACAGCCTGGTGACAGACGGACAGACAGACAGACAGTGGAGTCTTAGTAATAGAGTCCCGTTTTCCCTTTGGGTACGGGACCTTAATAATGGATCGGCAAATTCATCAAGTGCCTTAGTCTTAGTGCGCGAATTTATCCACCAACCTACCTTAATTTAGCTAAAATTGTTTGCTGCTAAACTGTAATAAATTCCATACACAAGTTTACCCCCTTACCTCTTCGAATTCCAAATCTGTTTTCGATGTAGCTCATTATGAAACCCAGCAACGACTCCTCTTTTTGCTTTATGGTCACGTCGCAATAGTCCTTACTAAGCTGTACAGGTTCCAAGTAGTCTTCTACCGGCAGACTCTGAAAATAAAGTTTCTTTTTTATGAGTGGCCGCCTCGTACTGGCCGTTGCAGTATGTGATGCCCCCCAATAGATGGAATGACGACCTGTGTGTGAGGGAAAAGTATGTGGGAAGTCGATGGATGCAGGTCGCTCAGGATCGTGCGTTGTGGCAGTCTTTGGGAGACGCGGAAATCAGTGACATGAACCGCGATAATCCAGTATCTGCGAGCTCGCTTTTAATTTAGTACACTCGGGTAACCTAAGATGGGATTTAATCCAGCATCAATATAATCATTAGTTGGAGACATATCACTTGCTCAGCGGTGAAGTAAAACAAAATGATGAGACCCCACTAAGGAAAACAAAGTGATAAGAAATAATTACTAAAAAAAAACAAAATTTCGAACATATGAGAATTCTAAAAATCCTATATCGTATGTCTGCTGCACCTTTGTATCGTTTTCGTATCTTATACTAATGTTAATATATAAACGCGAGCAGGTCCATCCAGGGAAGTATCACGATCTCATAGAAGACCGGCGATAAGTGGAAGTATTATTTATATGATGATGATGACTCCGTTCGATTCCCACACGGGACAACTATTTGTGCGACCCACAGATAGTTGTTGCATCTGGGTGTTTGTTACAATTTATGTTTGTAAAACGCCCTTACAACACAGGATAATGTTATCCTAAAAGTGAGGGCAATGTTAAAAAAAAGAAATAAAATAAATATGTATGTATGCGTTTAGTCGGGTGAGGCAGCCGGGGCCCACTTTATAATAAACGACACATTTTCATCCCTACAGGTGCTGTAAATGTCAATGGGCTGAGGTTGTCACTTAACATCAGGTGTACCGCCAGCTCGCTTGCCATCTTCTCACATAAAAAAGCATAATTGCAAGAGAATTCGTTCGACTAACCCGATTCTCTTCGGTACCCTCAGCTTTTGGAGTTTCATTAACCACATGTACTGAATCGTACATGTCCAAAATGCTGTCATTATTCTCATAAATGTTCCCTTCTTTGTCTTCCTTTTCACATTTCTCCCTTTTCTCTTCTACTTCTTCACTTTTTCTGAAGAACGGAAATCGAAAAGCCTGGAAGAGTTCTTGTATTTTCACCATACACGGCTTCACTTGAGTCACCTGTCGTGGAGTGACATCGTCGGGAGATTTCTCCTTAATTTTATTGATTTCATTATAATTTAAGTCCTCATAGAAATGCTCTTCTGGGAGATTATCGCATGTTGCCTCCGGTGTGGGAAGAGATTTATATTTAGTCTTATTATTTTCATGTTTTTTACTACTCTTTTGTATGTAATAACGATTGTTGGTTTTCACCGAGTAGTAACCTCTGTCTGCATTATTATCGGTTTTCGAAAATCTCAATCGAAAATCGAAGAATGGGTACTCGTAAGAACTTAAACGGAAGAACCTTCTCTTCTTCGGTGTCCCCGCGTCCATAGGAAGGTATGACGTCACTGCCTTCTCTGTCCTCTTCTGCTGGTTCCTATAAAGGAAGCTTTTGGCAGGAACCATTTTCTTTAGTAACTCTTCTACAGTATTAACGTTGACATCTTCTCTCGTCTTACGCACTGTCACTGTTTGATATTGACTTTCCGGACATATATTAGTTTCTTTGCTTATTTTTATTATTTCAGTTTTCGATTGATTTGTTAAGTACTTTTTTGGGTTGTCTTTTAAATCATTGATGAAGATGATAAAGTCCTTAGCGTTTGATTTCGGCCGCCAAAGTTTTACAATCCCTTCAGTAACGTCCTTTGAACAAAAACAAAGTATTAGATTTAAACTGTGTATCAAGTCTTTATAGAAAAAAAGGTTATACTTCTAAACAATTTGACATAACAAACTAACTAAATCTGCTTATATGTTCTGCTTGTATGTATGCTCTACTGCCTAATCGTTTTTTATTTTTTGCTCCTAACCTCATCGTGTTTTAAACTTCTTAAATTAATGCTTACCTAGATGAGATGCATATACTGCCACATTTACAATATATCGAAGTTAAAAATAAATTTCACACCGTGAAAAATAAACCAGTTAAACCATCCGTTATAAATAACCTAAAAGCCAAAAGCGTTTAAGTTGTAATTATAAGTAACTTTTCATGTATAGTTTTTGGAAAGTATATTTTCGACTACTCAAACTTATAACGATACTCTCTTCGATTTCTACTTCAAAATAGCTTAAACTTTAAGCCAATTACTTTAAATTACTTTGCAAAGCTTTTAGCTGTATATAAATTCAAACTGTAATGTATAATAATTTAAGATGCCGTAACAATTTTCAATTTTGAGAAGTATCTTCGATTAGAAACTTTACCTATCATTTGATCACTCGATAACTAATTCTTGGTGAAGTTTTCTAATTTAATGAGCGACACCGTCTGCACTCAACATGAACAAATAATATCCACATATAAATTCTTTATGAGCTCATCATTTTATATACCAAATCATTAATTGGTGTGATAAACAAAGAATAAATAACACATCATTAAACAATAACAATTGTAAGAAAACAAAGTTTAGGTACCATAAAATAAAATAAAATTGCTCACAATCCAAGTCATGTACAACGGAATCCAGAATTGAATATCCGTTTGTTACAATAAAAAACACAAAAGTCCTAACCAGCACTAGTACCTCTGTAGTCGATAATAAATAGTAACTTAAGATCAAAATACATTATATTTGTCCGTCTACAATCATAACTGAAGTAGTATAAGACTAACTAATTAGATGTTTCCTGCCATTCTTTTAATTAGTATCATTGATTTGTTATTAGCAAACTATCAAACAGACACAAACTCAAGTTGAAACATTGCTGGTCGTTTTGTAGAGAAGTCGACTGTCGTCCAGTTCACTACGTGGCGTCTTTGAATCAAAAAATAGTCAAAAAATTACTATTTTGTTATTCAGTAAGTACCAAAACATTTTAACACGCTATTCATGTGTGTACGCAGTAAGCAATTACCTCTCTAGTATTTATTTTTGATAATTGTCGCTTTATTAGTAATAAGTGACGATCCCCGGTTTCACTGGCAATAGCGCGTACACACTTGTTTTTCCTTTGCTAAAGTTTTATAACAATTATATATTCAATTAAATTATATTCAGCAAGAGTTTTTCGGACATCTTCAACAATCATCATGTATCAGGCAATTTACACAAAACTTTATTGAAATATACACCTCCGTCGTGAATTACTCCGTTCAGTAGAGTTTGAGTGTATCGCGCTCTAACATACTTATCGACGCGACAGGGAAACTTCGTTTTATAATTCATAACGTAAAACAACAGAAGACTGGCTCCGCTATGATTCAAATGACAATTAAAACAATTCAGACAATCACGAATACGATAGTTCGGATTTGGCTCAGATATTTAAAATTCATGACACATCGACTTGATTGTATCAAACTGGACGTTAAAAGATATATAAGTTGTCCTTCTAAACGTTAAGAAATGCGGTTCTTAATGTGTGTAAATATTTTTGATCAGTATAAGTCACTCTATAAATAAAAAAATCTTTTTCAAGGTAACCATCAAAGAAGGAACTGCAGAAACCAATAAAATTGCAAAAATATAAACCTTATTCAACTTACCAGTAATTTTCTCCCGTCCAACTGTTTCTCCCGTACAAAATCACAAAATTCTTCCATCTTCCAATTCTCAAGAACAGACAGTACACCATCCTGGTCCAATTCCTCTAATTTTGTTGATCCCATATTTGTTTCACACACTTTCAAACACAAAACATTAAATAACAATTTAAATTAACATAAACATGAATTGTCAACACATCAAATCAAAATTACATTCAAAAGGACCCAACAAATGATGAAAGCAGAAAACTAAGACCGAGTTTCAAGCAACAACTTCAATAATTTTCGACCACACATCTATCAAGAGTTCCCCATTCAACGTGGATGAGGCAAAGCAAGAGACTAATTACAGAGCACCTACAAAGAGCACGGATGCTGCAAGCATCAAAGACTGTACCGTACGACCACTCAACTCAATGGCTTAATTCACTTTATTGGCGTATTAAGGCTTTGCTCTGCTACGCTCTGTTATCAACTCATCGGGTTTTCTGATTCGAGCACCGAACAATTTAACACATCTGAATGCGCTAATGTACCATGTAAATGTTTTGAGTCTACGAATTATAAATGATCTTATTATAAACGTGTGTCTATTTTATCAAGTTAAAGATCTTCTTTGTGATATTCCATTTCATCTATACATATGAATATTTAAAATTAACAAAAAATATTATTTTATTTTTTAAAGTTATTAAAATTAACAAAAAATGTTATTTATTTTTTTAAAGACCATTGGTACTACTTTTGCGTGGTGTGGTTTACTTCTCACTTATTTTCTCACCTTTTTTTACTTTATTTATACATTTATTTATATCACATACACAATGATTTTGGATGCATATTTCTATATATTCTACATCCAATGGCATGTGAGCTGTTGAATACGTTGACCCCGACTTTGATCTCTCCCACCTCATCTAATTAGTTTAAAACGCCGGGACACTTGACCTCGTTTGTGGAATTACACCTAAGCTTATTATCGCATGCGAACGTCGCTGAATTTAATAAAGACGCTCCTCCTGAGTTACGGACTTCGTCTACTGAACAGGATATTTGATGGCCATGATAAATCATTATGCACTTAATGGGAGAGACTCTGCTAGAAGTCCGGAGAGTGCATTAAAATATAGAACCCACATACATGTCTCTTCGTTGTATAGTTCAGCTAAACAGACTAACTGTTGACGGCGGTTTTGGTACAATATTTATGGGGCTTTAAATCCACGGCGTATTTTCCTTAGGATAATCCTCTCCAATTCATAAAGTATATATGTATATGCAAAACTCATGTTATTTATCCTTTGCTGTATGAGTGGAAGGGGGAAGCAAGAAACATACTTTCCCGTGTACAATATTAAGAAGACGAACGGGTGAGCATGTGGGATGTGCTATGATACGATGGTGAGAAGATGGCAACGCATCTGCAACCCTACGGGTGTTGCAAACGTCAAGGCGGAGGTTTTAAGGAATTTCTTAACATCAGTTGAACCCCCAGCTCGTTTGCCACTTTTTACTTAAAGAAAAACATTATCTCCCTTGTAACCTAATTTTATTGAAATCCGTTGAAACAATACGCAAACCGAAGAAATGTGGAGAAACACACAAATATTTCTACATTTCTAATATAAGTACGATTTATTTGAAAACGTTTATGTTACTTTTAAATTCGTCAAAAATTTAGCTAATACGAAAAAAGACAAGGAACAAATAAATTTTCTATGCAATACGGAATTTATTTACCTTTATCCACTAGAGCATAAAGTATGGAACCGTTCGACGCGACTGCTCATTGCAATTTTAGAGCTTACGTGAAGTGTTTTGAGTCTATAATCGTTTTTCTTGAATTTCTGCGTCTGTTTTTAACAGAAGAATGTGATGCGATATGTATCTCGTTTGGACTTGAGACATAAGGTCGTAATTCGATCGATACAAGTGAAAACAGAACAAGAGTATTGGCCAAAGCCCAACAAGAGTCAATTGACAGAATGATGTCATTCATTTAGACGTCTGAGATGTTTCACAGTTCTCACAGATAAGACTATGAGTAAGTAATACTAGGACGTTGATACTGTATTAGTGATCATACATTCTGATTCCATTGATTTAAATATAGTACCAGGAGGACCTGAGAGGAAATTACATTTAGATACAAATTAGAAATATGCGTAATATTTTTCGATCTTACCGACGTAATAATAAGAAAATATGAAGTGGTGTTTTTCACAAAAGAAACAACTTAAAAAAAAGGGATAAAAGTAAAAAAATAACAAATCGACAAAAAAAATAAAAATAAAGAAAGCAATGATCTGGAATCGAAAAAAAGTAAAAAAAAAAAGAGTGTGTATGATCGTGATACGAACCACGGCCGTCTGTTTTGGGGCCGCCCGATTACCGACGAAGCTATTTTAACATTTTCTTTTGCGGCGAAATCTACCGTCATATTCAAATGATATTTTTCATTTCCTGAAAACAGGGATAAAAGGACATTTTCTAAAAATTAAACCTAGCTAGATCGATTTTTCGCCCCCGAATCTACGCACATACTAAATTTCATGAAAATATATATATATATATATATGTATATACAAGAATTGCTCGTTTAAAGGATAAGATTTTCCTCTACGAACACTGCATAATATTAATATTAATGAATATTAAAATTAAATAAATACTAAAAGTGTTACAATGTATTAATGCGACGTGTCCCGTGACCTTGAAAATAATAATCTTGAAAATAATAAATACAGACTCTATAAGTATGTTTAAAAGTAGGTAAAACGATAGGTAGCCTAAGTTTTCGGAAAGGGCATAACATTTAGCACAATAGGTAAAAGCGAAACATTATTTTAGAGGAGGTAAACAAACGGGTCGTACTATACACCATCTGATGCTATAAAACCTTAGGATCTTATTAAATTCTTAATAAAGTAAAGTAACAGCCTATATAAATATGTCCCACAGTTGGGTAAAGACGTCCTTCCTCTGTACAGAAGGTAAGTATTTGGGCAAAGTCTACCACGCAACCCCCCTGCGGATTGGAAAACTTCAAACATCTTTGGCAAACTTCGAACCGTTTTTTTATACTGTTTTGCTGATATTATTTCGGAAATGTACAGGTTTCCTCACGATATTTTCCTTCACCACTGAGCAAGTGATAAGTCAGCACTTAACATTGCGATAAACAATTTCTTGGTGCCGGCACGGGGATTCGAACTCATGCTAGAGTTTATTACTGAGCTATCATAGCTTTTAAATTCTTAATAAAGTTGATATAAGGTATCGATTATTTAGTATCATTATTCGATTTCGTCGAGCTGTGTTATTAATGGCTTTAAATATAAAAGGAAAGCGACTACTGATATTGGTGACGGATACTATACGGGAATATATCTGGGTAAAAGTATGTTCTATAGTGGTAATGGCCCACGCACGTACAGATGTAGAAAAACCAACCTTTCATCTGCTCTCCATTTAGTTCCCAATGCGTTGCTTTAAAATTGAACACGATGGAATCGTTAACCACAGTTAGATCGGGAATTTAGTTACGTAAAAAAAATCACTACTCGCCAGTTGGGATGACTGACACTCGTTTGGTGAATAAAATCACTCGACTAAAACGTCTATCGACCTGCGGAATCGAACTAAATATGACAAAGGCCTTATAACCCTCACAACTTCGTGATTATTGAAGCTTTGTTGATAGTCTAGACTACAGAGTGTACCAAAACAGGAAATGGAATCACGGAAAAACGCTATTTACAAGCATTTACAAGCATTTGTTAAAACAATAATCAAACTCCAGTTATTAACCGAACAACATGATTTCTTTCTGGCATCTCCTGTATGCAGATCACTAAACCGTCTATTATTCTGCACTTGAATTAGCAGTTGTTTTATTATTATTTGTTTTTATTCATTTCCGCTTCCATGATTATGCACATGATTTTTCAACCTTTATTTCGTACTGTCTATGATACAATAGAAATAAATAAATGCAGTTGATTGCTATCAACCCACATCCACTAGATGAATATATGAGCGACACAATTCGGTGAAAAAATTCTTTGCCAGTTTCAACACAAAATTCGATAAATTTCGGTACGTTTAAACCATGTTTTATAACAACCTCTTGACGTGGTACACGTTAAAAAGGTCACAGGTAAAGGGTACAGTGTACTGTTGACGATGATGATCATGTGGAACTACTAAACTTCACTCGGAAATAGATCAAGTTTATTTAAGTTAATATGATTATTCGTTAGACGTCCTGGTCTGTTAAAGCATCAAAAAAATAAGGTATAAGACCTTATGACCGTATGAAGTACCATTTGTAAGACCCGCGATAAAATCCGTAAAATAGTTTCACTTAACAACTTATTACATTCGCGTAAAAACAAGAAATCAATTCACAATTCTATCCTATAGAAATCTAAATACGATCCTACGTTTATTCATAAAGAGTTAATTACATCAAAGTTATTATCATAAACATCTTAACAATCATTACTTTAAATAAAACTAATGTTTTTCTTTTTAATCTTACCTTTATTCAGATTAGATCATTTAAAAAGAACTAAGTCTTATCTAACATACAAATATGGATACCGTAAAATATTGCGCAATATTTTTCTTATGTCTTAAGAACTATACATTTGTAAATATGCAGTTATTTTCATAATTTCTAAAGCATTGTCAGTTTTTTGCAATCCCTTTAGTTGCATCTTTAGTATTTTATCAAAGGCTACTTCAAGGATTGCCTGTAGTTCATATGTGTCAAGCGTCGAACAACTAACTGATTCTGCAAAGGACGTCGTACATCTTGTGTACTACTTCCGCGCCGCCGAAACCGATGTAGCACGCGTTGTGACTGGGGTGCACCTTTCCAGGGGTTATGGACATCTGGTGCCTCGCGCGGCCGACGTACAGCGTCTCACCGGACGCTGTTTTGCCGCCAGGTATCGCACCTGGAGGCACGTTCCCGTTCGACGCCGGCACCCACCTCAAGTTCTCCGGCTTCGAGCAGAGCACCTCTATGTTCTGCACCGGTATCTCCTTCCCGCTGTACATGACCGACGCGGCGTTGTGTCTCACCGATAGCTTGCCGGGTATCAAGTCGCCGTTGTGCCACGCCCTTATCACCCACAGTGGGCTCCCGTCCCAACCCTCATGGCCGCCTAGCACCGCCTTCCCCGTGAGGTGGCCCGCCGTGGTGGATGTTGTTGGCACCCAGTCGAAGTCGCCAGAGGTCTCCGCGATCTGGACCATCTCCGACCCGGGGTTGTTGGAGGACTCGCCGTGGTATATGTAGTTAGTTATGTACGTCGGCTGGCTGGGCGCGTCCTGGTGTACTGGCACTGGCACCATCATCGTTCCTGGCACGAAGACGGGGTAGGGCGCGGTTGTTTGTCCGTGGTCTAGCGGCGGGTAGGAGTGCGATGGAGGGTAGTGCGTACCAGAAAGCGAGGGATGGTGTGGGGGGTGGTGTGCTGGATGGTGAGGAGGGTGGTGCGGGGGGTGAGGCCACGGTGGCGGGGGCCCGTAGTAAGATGGCGGTGGTCCAGGTGGCGGGTAACTCATTTTCAATGCACCGTTCTATATAAAACACACTTTTCCAATGAATTCACTTCTATCCGATGCGTTCACTCGAAAGTACTGGTGATTTCGTTATCGTGTGACGATTTATACAGCGCAGTGTTAGGGAAATCTTATCTTCCGACCGATAAACTTATCCTACTTTCGATACATCGATAATCCGAGTCATTTCTGTGGAATGTATTAGTCATGTTATTTTTACAATTTCGAGAAAAATACGCATGATTGATCAATTAAAATAAAGTTACGAAAAGAGATCAATGTTAGTACCGATCAGTTAGAGGGCCCACTGATTGCATATTGTATCTAAGGTTGTTTTTTTTTGTTTGTTTCCATTTGTTTGTTTCCATAATTTTTCATAAAGTTTAATGTTTCAATCACCATTTTAAAGCTTAGGTTTGCTGGTATTGACAAAAAATAGATAAATAGAAAAGTTTCGTTCTTTTTTTAATAAAGAATCTAGGATATCATCCATCATCTATTGTAAATTGTCAATTTTAGAACAATAAATGAAATATTAACTTTTTTTATTATTGGACACTAAAACAAATATTTTATATAGATTTTTCGCGTAAGAACACATTACATTATTAAATGAATAATAAATGATTTAATATAAGTTTGAAATATTCTCCGGCGATATCTCTAATTATTAATATTTTAGCTTCAGCCATTTACCTATGAAATTGCCGTTCTTCAGTAATGGCCATTTCAAACAAAAAAAAGTTTTAATTGGCTGTGAATTCTAAATTCATATTAAAAGTACGGTAACAGCCTATACATGTTCCACTGCTAGGCAAAGGCCTCCTCCATACAGGAGGTATCAGGGCATAGTCCACCACGCGGCCCCACTGCGGATTGGCGGACTACACATATCTTAGATTCTTTTTGTTATTATTTCGAAAATATGTTAGGGTTAAATAGGTTTCCTCACCATGTTTTCTTTCACCGCGGAACACGTGATAGGTCAGGTAAATTCTTAAAGTTCACTAAATTCATATTAATTAAAGAAATTCTTTTTACAAAGTCAGTCTTTTCTTATTGATTAACTTTGTATTTTCATTACATTAAAACATTTTTCGATTACAATATGAGTTCCGTCGTGGCACCAACGCGGCACAAACGGCACGTAACATCAACAATGGTTAAGAAGAGAACTTTACAAATGGATGCACATCTCGTCATTTTTACAGGAAGGACAAACTACTACTGTGTTGGCAAAGATATATCGATTGCATGAATGATTACTTTGAATAACGGAAACAAAAAAGTTTGAAAAAGAAACTTATTTCATACAAAACGGCAATTTCAAGACCTAATATCATAGAATCTCTGTGTTAATTGACGTATAATTTATAATTACAAATCAAAACCTCAGTTTATAATTACAAATCCAAAGAAACATAAAAATTGAAATTTTTAACAATAGTATCGCTTTATTACACTTATCACATTTAAAATCTTACATAAGAACGATGAAATAAAAACGTTTTACTTGTAAAATATTTTATTATTAACATTACCCCTTAAAACATAATTTTATAACAATTCACAACTAAACTAATTAAAGTGTACAAAATAAATTAATGATAATCATACTGCTACCTTTTAAATTTCATAACTTAAAAGAAAACACAAAAAATTGCAACCCAAACAAGAAGAAATTTCAAAAAGAAAACAGATGTGGTTCCTTATTGTAACATTTAATTACAGGCGAGTTTCTGATATAGGCCGTGTTTTAAAATTGATTAGATATTATTCAGGAGATGCAATCCTAATACTCTTTTGCATTCATTTGGTTTCACTGTTAAATAATTCCATACTATAGAAGTAGAACTACCATCAAAACCATTGCTCTAAAAAATCCTATGTAGTATTGGATACCTTGAGTACAAAGAATTTTACTATCTCGGAAAGACCCTTACTTAATGAATATTAATGTTGCTGTTATAAATTTTGACATTCAGACTCGTCAATTAGGAATTAACCATGAAAATCCTTTCTCATTGTCAGTCTATTAAAAACTTTATAATCAAGTCGCAAATTAAATTATTTACCGATGGTTAATTACTAATTGAAGATTCTCTGAGAACTTATAACATTTTTAAGGGTAATTTTAAACACATCTGTTATACTAGTTTCTTGAGCTGACATTAATTTCTGGTTAAAAGACTTTTATTTGGCACATGTTTAACTGTGTCCGAGGACACTCAAGTGTCGGTACCGGACAGATATTATTTTAAATATAAAATCAGTTTTCACTGACCTTTCGTGACAAATAGCATTGTATATCTGTGTTCCATTTGGTGAGCATATATTTTTAAACAAAACTACCTAATTTAACAACCGTTACATTAAGTTTCAAGCCTCATCACCAAATATAGAAACAGCAGACGCAAGCACGCGGAGAATAAGGCTTAAAGTAAGGCAGGTCTTGAGTACGCGTGGTTCTGTTACAAGAACAATTTGTTTCTGTTTTATTGAAATTTGTAGAAAAAAGAATGAAAAGTTTTCGCCGCTGTGGAATCGAACCCATATCTCTCGTTAGAATTAGTGTAAAACGATATTAGACATTGTTTGTATGCTGTAAAGGATGCAACAATGTATGCGCCAGCATTGCTTCAAATGCTAAAAGAAACAGTGTAGATAAAGGAAGTTGAGATTTATATCGGTGTGGCAATCGGCCCTTTAGCTTAGTGGTTTTAGCGAATCCCGAAGACGTGGGTTCGATACCCGCAGCGGCGATCAACTCGTAATTTTATTTTGAGATTAGCACTCCAAAAATTTATGTTTCTATTTGTTAACGTGATTTCGATTAGCACCGAGTAAGTGGTACCAGGGCGATGGTTCTGGAGGTCGCAGTTTAGTGGTGACGTGGTCAGGTGAGGACAACCGCGCGGAACACGCAGCGGCCCCCGTCCAGCAGGGCTGGCCAGACGAAGGAGCGGATCAGGTCGGAGCGCCGCGAGCTGCCGCTCACGCGCACGTGCCTCTCCGGCGTCATCACCACTGGCGGTGGAAGGCGCACGTGAGAGAGTGAGATAAGTGAGCGCGTGTACAGGGAGGCTTTTTAAAGGTGCCCAAATTTACACAGGGCGTTCAGACTCGGTAGTATAATCGTTTATTGAAATACAAACCAAACTTTTTTTTTTCTTCAAAAAATTCTATTCCCTAAAAAACAGAACTTGTTGACAACGCGTTTACTGTTCACGCACACAAACGAACTTGTGGACGTGTTAGTTATGAATGATCGCACGTAAAATAAATGAGTTGGATATAAATCACGCACTTATTGTGAGATAAGTTCAAATGAATGTAATTAATTACTTACGACTGATTTTAAATATTTTGTAGTTATTTATCATATCATATCATCATTATTTATGCCCAGAATTTAATAAACGAAATGGATGCACTTAGAAAAGCCTCCCTGTATAGTGGAGACGCAACTGTGGTGGGACCACGCAACAGCTTCGGATGTTGCACGAATGGGCAGGTCCGTCCGGGTAAGTAGGAGACCTCATAGGATATCGGCGTGTAGTGGGAGTGTCATACTTCTGCGTTTCGTCTAGTGAGTGAGGCAGCCGGGGCCCACTTTTGGCGACGCGTCTGCAACTCTACGGGTGTATGTCCATGAGTGGCGGTTATCACTTAAAATCAGATGGACCGCCAGCTCACTTGCCACGTGAGATGCCACGAATGGGCAGGTCCGGACGGACCTGCCCATTCGTACAACAGCGAAGACTGTTGCGTGGCCCTACCACATTGTGGGAGCTAAGTGAGCAATTCCTAACCGAATAGAGAATACTCACCGGGCGTGAAATCTGTGTCGATGCGTAGGGGCGGCGAATGCAGCCCAAGGGCCCAGGCGGCGCGGCAGGCAGCCGCCGCCAATGAGTGCAGCGCGCCGCAACTAGCCAAGCAGGGGTACTCACGCAAAGTTCCCACCACCTGTAAATTTAGATTTTATCTATATTTTTCGATAGCCGTGATAGCTTAGTGTCAAGATGCTCTCTATTAATTAAACATACTCGAGCCACCTGTGTTTAATCCCCAATGTCGGTGAATGAAATTGCTAGTACAGGTGTAGTTGCAACTTATCACGGGATAGGCGGTTATGGAAAAAATCGTAAGGAAACCTGAATGTTTTCGAAAAATACCAAAAATACATTTCGAAGATATATGAAATCTGCCAATCCGCAGTGCAGCACGATGTCCTAAAACCGTCTGTACGGAGGAGGCCTTTGCCCAGTAATAACTCATGTGTGGAAATGACTCTTGCTCTGCACTTGCAAGACCCCTGGCTGCTGCTGATTTTATACCTAAATAAGTGTGCATAATTGCCTAAAAAAACAAAAAGAACAAGACCGCAGAGTTTCTTGCGTTTCTTCTCTGTGCAGGTCTAGTTTAGTGAACCGGTGGTAGATTTTTTGTTGACGTTCAGTAAGAGCTTAAGTTAAGCCTATATTGAATAAATATACTTTGACTTTGACTTTGATATATAGGCCGTTATTATATATACCGTTAATATATATACCGTTTTGGAATAAAATTATTGTTATCCCATGCTATACTATTATGTTGCTCACAAATTTATTTGTTCAGATCTTGCACTATTTCAAAGGGACTATATTGTACCTGTCTTACTTCCATCCGTTGGGACTTTTACGCATATGTGCATATAAATATGCATATTTTGTCACTTTTCAAGGCGATAGCTTTATAGTACAAAGCAGTAGTAACTGATTTGATTACAAGTAAATACCTACAGCTGAATAGGCATCTGACTAATATATTTGCTTACACCGTGTAATACTAATCGAAAGGGGGCTGCTACTAATAACACGAGTACCTGCTTCTTCTCTAACATGCATACAGAACTGTTTGAAAGAGACGACTAATGTTTAGATCAGGACTATTTAAAAAAAAAACTTTAAACATCACAATTACCCGTTTACTCTCTAATATTTCATCCGAGACTATTCAAAAGGGACACAAGTATCTATCTTCTCTCTAATGTTGCGTCCGGAACTATTTAAAAGGGGCATCGCAGTACGGATCTTCGCAGTGCTATTTTAAATGGGTTGCACAGTAGTTACCTGTCCCAAAGGGCTAGACAGTGCTATTTAAAATGGGTTGCACAGTAAGTACCTGTCCAACGACCGTCCGTTCGGCCTCGCCCAGCGGGAAGGTGGCAGCGGTGGTACGCAACACGCGTGTGGCAGCCGCTAGCAGACCCGCCGCGGCGGCCGACTGCTCCTCCTCCGCGCCCAGCAGCGCGCGCACTTCGGACAGACGCCTCTCGCGCAGGCTGATGGCAGCGCGGAACGACAGCTGCCACGTGAGAGAAGGTGGCAATCAAGGAAGAGAAAACTTTCAACTGTGGTAGGGCCACGCAGCAGCCTCGGCTGTTGGACGAATGGGCAGGCTCGTCCGGGTAGGTACCACGACCTCACAGAAGACCGACGTAAAGTAGAAGTATAACGCTTTCGCGTTTCGTCTAGTGTGTGAGGTAGCCGGAGTCCAATTTTCAAAAGTTTGTCAACGCATCTGCGACCCTCGAGTGTAGCAGATATCCACGGGCGGCCGTATTCACTTAACATCAGGTGAACCGCCCGCTCGCTTGATAATTTTTCACATTTGTTACTTTTTACTTTTTCACAAGTTAACACGGTTTTGGGGCAGCTTGCGGCATTGGATATGCGGCAGCTTTTATCACGTCGACAAAAATCTCGATGTATAATATAAACCGTTTGCTTATTTATTTCAATTAGAGTTCTAGAGTAAAATCCTTGACATGAACCAGTTTGGCACAAACTATTTTAAACTTAAGCTATTATATTCAACTGTTTTTTATGTGGAACTTGTGCATATTAAACATTGCATTTGGTTATCCTTGTGAGATGATTGGGAATTATTCTAATCGCTTCCATAACATAAATAAAGGTAAATAATGGATACTCAGTTATATTATACAATAGGTACCATGATCGTTTATATTATTAAAGACAACAGAAAAATAATGCCTAATGTAATACAGCTTAATAAAGATTCAAAACTTAGGCGGTAAAATAACGACAGACACCCATGTCTCTCATTAATGAATTTATTTAAAACGCATGATAATACAAAATGAGGTTAATGTTTGATGACTCCGTGGGCCAAGGTATGGCAGGCAGGCTGCGGCATCGGGGATCGTGGGTTCGATTCCCACACAGGACAACTATTTTTGTTACACAAATAGTTGTTTCGCATCTGGGTTGTTTGTCCCTGTGATATTTATGTTTGTAAAACGTTGTAGAACAATGAATTTGGGAATAACTAACCACTGCAACCGAGAACACTATTTTGTATTTGAGGTGCGGAGTCGCCTTCAGCTGTTCAAGAGCATCCAACGCTGGGAGTACCTCCTCAGCGGCCTTCGACCAGACTGCTGCGTACTGGGACACCAGTGCACTCCTGAAATTTGTTGATTTCAACCTTGTACAAAGACCATCATAAATATTTCCAAATTGAACCAAAGCATTGAATTGGGCTTTAAATAAACAATTTATACTGACTCTTGTTATTTTATTCCACTTTCTCTAATGAAGATATAATATAAATAGCTAAGAATAATAAAATCAACCAATCTGATCTCCAATGCATTCAGGCAGTAAAACATCATATCAACTTACTGTGCTCAATCGATTTGAAATTCAAAATAAATAACTATCACCATCTTTAGCGAGAATTCGTGTACTTCTTGGTTGACCATATAAGAAAGCGTGATATATATATCTGTAGCGTACAATTTGCGATACTGCGGTGTGCACCCATGGACACTTCAAACCCCGTAGGATTGCAGATCCGTTGCTACCTTTCAATAAAGTCGGCCCCGGTTACCTCGCTACCCAGACGACACGCAAAAGTGAGGTCTAGATACTTCCCGTTACGTTACCCGGACGGACCTGAACATTGGTGCAACCGTGAAGACTGTTGCGTGGCCCTAACACAGTCGAAAGAGATAGACTTACATTCGAATCCTTAAGAAAATGAGCTCTAACATTTTGAGCTCAATTTCTTACCTGCTCTTGCCAGACTGATCTAGAATCAGAATCTAGAAATGGAGATATGAGTAGCCTCTCACCTGTCAGGATGCTGCTGGGAGTCGTCACTGTCTGAGTGGTAGCCGTCACTCGCGGAGTCAGTGTGTGAGCGGGGCGTACCCTCTCCTCCCCTCTCGGCCCCTCCCTCACCCTCCGACATGAGCCCCAGCACTGCAGCGCAGCCGCGCGAGTAACTCATCAACACTCCAGCCACCGGCCTGGAAATTAATATGCTCAACATAAGCCTCCTAAAGATTTCATTCATTAATTTAATTTTATATTTTCATATACATCTATCCTTACTAAATGAAACTATGTTTGCGGATTTATCGCGTTAATTTTTAGTTTTAATTCCGAACGTTTTGAACCCTTTAGCAATAAAGGGTGAACATGAACGCGAAATGAAATGAAAATTAACGCAAGTTCATGGTCACGGGACAGACTGACGCCCGGTTTCTGAAACACTGATCATCGTACATTTCAACTAATCAGCTGTCAAATGGATTTCAAATTACAATTTAGGTACCAAAAGGATGGTTAAACTCTGAATTGACCAGAATGATCTTCTTTATGATCAGAATGATCAATTCAAAGTGTTTAAACATCCTTTTGGCAACTAAAATGAAATTTGTAATTCATTTGACAGCTGATGATCAGTGTTTCAGAAACCGGGCGTGAGGCATTCAACGTCTGAGTGTCATTGTTAATCCTGGCTACCGCCAGTTCATAAGATATTAATTTTTATATGGATCTAGGCGGAGCATGCTAATTTTTAACTTCAAAAGGTTGAAAGCTGGTGCTTCCCATGTGGTCCCATATTAATTTCATTGGTATTGGATCTTGGGCTCCGGAGATGCTTAGGGAACTCCTGAAAATTATAATTATAAAATGAATTCAAAGCGAAATATTTGAAGTCGGTTTTTTTCTTTATCATTAGTAAAAACAATGGTTATATATTGTCTTGCAGTAGTGGTTCGTTTGGGCCTAGATTTAATCAAATAAATTCGTAAACATAGTTTCATTTAGTAACGTGTCCTCGCGTAAATACAAGAAATTATTATACTCATATTATAAACGCGAAATATAGATTTGTATGTATGGATGTTTGTTACTATTTCACGCAAAAACTACTGCATGGATTTTAATGAAACTGTACAAAATTATAGCTTATACATCAGAATAACACATATTCACACATACAAGGGTCTCCCAAAGTGACAATGTCCTTCTCTTACGCCTTCGCGAATAAACCGCAGAACCAATTTTGATGAATTTTGGTAGAAAGAGGACTTTTGAGAATAAAATAAGCTACTCGAAGTCGCGGGCACCACCTAGTAATCAATGATAACAAAACGAGATGAAATTTGCTTGTTTTCTAGTTTGTATATTATTTACTATCTCAGAACCTCTTCTTTTTTATACCATGACCACCAACACCGCACATTAGAGAAACACCCACGCTCTTCTTACAATCGCAAGATTTCACTCGAGCGACTTTTTTCGCTGAGTAAAGGCGAGAGATCATTACGCCATCTTACACAATGACTTTCCTTGACAAAGCACAATCGGTAGGCCCTGGGAACGATTATATCATTGCGCTTCGCCGAATGGGAGCGGACTTGTTACGCAGCGGTTAATAACGCCGGGCGACGCAGTTGCGTGTGATAAAAACACGGTGGGATGCGAGAGATGTTTTGTTGGAACGGCGGCTTCGTTGTTTCTAAAATTACGCTTGAATCACTCGCCATTTTCCGACCGACTTCAAAAAGGAAGGAGGTACTCAGTTCGGATGTTTTTTTGTGTTTGTCACCCCTGAACTGCGTCATTTAAAGACGGATTTTAAAAATTAGAAGGAAAGAAGGAAAGAAAGAAAGAAGACATTTATTGCACAAGAAAGAAAAATTAGTGTTGCGTTAGGTTAGACTTATCTCCCATGTGGTCCTATATTAATTCCATTAATGCAGCTTGGACCTGGGAAGTACATCTGGAAATTCTATTTTCTTTTAATATTAAACTAGTTAAAAAGAAGGCTTTATTGGATGGTACGGAAATGTTTTGGTACTTTCCCGTCAGTTAAGTGTAAGATCTATTGTTATAGACTATAGATAAAGTTCAAAGTTTGCTTCATTAAACTAACTGGTAATACAAATATTAGTCTGGTGGATGTTTTAATACGTTAAATTATTGTATAACGTTAGGTACTTAAGCAGACAATGAAATTCACTTGATAATGTTCATAAATTATCCAAATCATGTACAAAATACCTAAGACATGTCTTTGGCCCGATCCACACTTTGACGAAAACTTAATGGTTATTGATTCAAAACCGATAAATTGTCTAAGGTAAGTACTCCATTCTTTGCCCGATGGGTGCGTTAATAAATGAGAAACGTAACTAGACATTGGGTTAGAAATGAAAATGAAACGGGAAAGCAAGAAATTTCCCAACGAAAGCACGAACAATGAATAATAAGGTTGTCATAAACTGATTTTATTGCCCCGCCATTGTTGATGCAGCTGAGTTCATCTTGCATTAACCACGCATTGTTAACTTAAGCACACTCGAATACATAACAATGTTCAGAAATGAAACTTACAGGCTTTGATGGCGACATTTTCTTTTGAATGTGATGGTGTTGATGAAAACATGATCCGTTGTAACTTTTACATATATCAATATTTTATTAATTTAATGGTATATAGTACATAATATTGTATGATACTATCTTAAGTTTAAGGTTGCTTTGAATTTCTAAATTAAATAACCACAAAAATTCATCACAGAAAAGTAAGCAACTTCAGCTTATGGTCTCTCACATATCGGTCTACGATATTAAGATTTACATTGAAAATATTATTGATGTTATATATATTATTGATATAGGTTTTTGTAGTTTTTAATCGGCAAACACTTGCTAAAGAATAATCAAGAAAATGACAATATATTTGATACTACCACCGAGATTCATATTTGTGTTACTAAAGTACTACAAAATCTTGAAAAATGTCTACAGTCAATTGCAGTTTCTCATATGATCGATAAAGAACCGAAGAGTCAGGAAAACTAACGAAAAATAAAAAATATGAAACCGCTTGAGTTATTAAATACATTAAGTCAATTGCATTAGACAGTTAAGCTAATAGAAAAAAACTGACTTAAATATTAGTGCACGAATAATTTGAAAAGAATCGCCCAACAAAAGAAGAAGAGAAACCGGGGAAAGAACATAACATGATACATTTGCATACCACGCGTCATAAAACAATATTTTTATAAGCTCCTAAATGGCTAGAAAGTCGAATACGGACACTAAATCAAACAGTACTACGAAAGCGTGGGGAGTAAAGCTCTTACCCAAAGCCAAGACTGCATCAAAATGTGGCACCAGCAGTTCTCCCTCGAAGGTTGTATAAAAAAACACTACCCGATAAAACATGTTAGAGATTTTCTTAATTTTGAGACGCATCGGTCGGATCCCCACTAATGGAAGAATATTATGTCATGAATATAGTTTCTTTCTAACGTCTGGGTGTTTATATGACTCTAATATGTATTTACTTATGTTTAAGTATATTTATGAGTTATCTAGTACCTATAGTAGTAGCTTAGCTTAGTTTGGGGCAAGATAACGCTGTATAAGATATGTCATAAATGCCTGACGTCACAAGGCTAGTTTATTTTTCTGACTTGTTTTTATTAGGTAGAAGGAATAATGACTCCTGTTTTTGTTACAGAGCTAAGCATTTTCTCATCGTGCCATATATAGGCACAATGAAAAATTCTTTTCGCAGTTAAGAAGCAAGGGAATCGGAAATAGTTATGCTATGCTGCGATTTGGATTCAAGCCGCATCTTCAAATCCTAATGACCCGTATTAGCTATTTACACTTCACGACAATCGAATAACGTTCTGCGGTAACACAGAACGAATTCGATTTTATCGTCGGAGTCTTAATTATTGTCTACGATTTCAGATAATACTTTCTTTTTCATCTGAATTATAGATATTGAGATTCAGAATAGAACAACGTTCTATCTGATTTGTGCTCCGCAGTACAAGGATATGTGTATGTACGTTTAGACACGGTTTTTTTGTACTGACTAGACTAAGCTTACTAATGTAATATACGAGTGTAAAATGCTCTATTAGAGTCAATTGATAATTATTGCAGTATCCCACTTTTTTATGGTATTTTCGTTGAAAAAAGTGCTACATGCGTTTATGTCACACAGATTTTCTGTTTTTAGTAGAACCACGTTATATATGAACGTGTGACCTATTATTTTGTGGAATGTTCCGTTGGACAACGTTATAAAAATGTATATAATTATGCAAACTTGTGACGAACATTTGATCCCACTACTCATCGCACAGAAGATCTTGATATAAATAGGTCAACGGACATAAATTTAATTTGTTCTATTGTGAACAGTACCCAAGCCACAAATGATTTATGTACTCGTATCAATACAATATTATTAATTAAAAATCAAGTACATTTATTAACAAAACACAACACACCAGCTTCGAAGATCTCACTCAACATACATTTTCTATTTCACTTGAGGAATTCCTTGATGTATTCAAGTTCAAGGTCTAGTACCCATGAAATTATGTCTCCGTGGCGCAGTTGCCATGGTATTGGCTTCGGCAGAAGGACTAAGGTTCGACCCCCACAACATTTGTGTGACCCACAGATAATTGTTTCGGATATGGGTGTTTATCTGGGTGTCCACGTGAAATTTATGTTTTTCAAACGTCCTTACAACACAGGATAATGTCATCATATAGCTTACTATATGATGACATTATCCTTTCCGTATTTTTCTAAACATTGCCCTTCGTATCCGTATTTTTTTAAACATTGCCCTTAGGCAATGTTTAAAAAAATACTTAAAAAAATTATAAGTGGGCACATGGGAGCTAAACAGAACACAATGCAAAAAGAATTTGTCAAGTATCTTACTATCAAGGTTCATGAGAGACAGTCTGGTGAGAGACGGACAGACAGACATACAGTGGAGTCTTAGTAATAGAGAATTCGATAGAAGAACCTATATGCTAGCTATATACTACATATACCACTTTTTTGAAATCGAAATGAATTGAAAACGTGTCAACCGGATGCTTATAGGAAATATAAACATGGTCACTTGACATATCGCTTGTATATTGCCACATTGCGTGAAATCGCGATTTCTCTATTTCTCATTACACAATGTTTAGTTTTTGCGCAAGCCGCTTTCCTACAAACGTTAGATACCTATCGATATTAGGCCGGTCATTATTTATGGATATTTTATGTTTATTTATGGATATGTATCGATATACAACGAACACGTCCCTCCCTCAAGTCTATTTGACTACCTCGTTAAACACTCCTAAAAATCCGCGCAACGCACGAAATGACGGTATTATACTTTCGCGTTTTGCCTGGTGAGTTTGGTACGGCCTCCACTTTTTTAAATGTTGGCAACGAATCTGTAACGCCTCATGTGCTGAAGACATCTATGTACGGCGGTTATGACTATTATCTGGTCAACCACCAGCATAATATAAAAGAAAACAATCTAGAGTTCATCGAGATTATTTGTCTAGTCTTAGTCGATAGAACATTCCAAAAATATTTCCTACTAGCTGTGCCCGCGACTTCGTCCGCGTGGAATTTAAAATAAAAAAAATCTAAAATAAAAGTACCCCAAGTTACTCAGCTATCTGCCAATAAAAGTCCCGTCCAAATCGGTTCAGCCGTTTCAGAGATTAGCAGGAACAAACAGACAGACAGACAGACAAAAATTGTAAAAAATGTTATTTCGGTGTATGTATCATGTATACATACACATGCATTTAATAAAAAGCGGTTATTTTAATATTACAAACAGACAATCTAACTTTATTTATCTGTATCTTTCGAAGTGAAAACCCTCTTTTTATTTTACTATTAATTAGCAACGAATGACTAGGTATGTCAACAACATATATGAGAAAGCATTAAACGCGAGACAAGCCGACTGGCGTTAGTGGTGATTACGTAAAACTCGTTGACACGACTTGAGCGAATAACTGTTTAAATTCAACATCAAAGTTATTTCAATTCTAGCATAAATCGCTAATATTTTTAACGACTAGAGATAATAGTTAGACCCACAGATAATTGCACCATGATGCACGTGTTGTGTCAACCCTACCGAGATTGGATAGGATGTTGATTATATGAAAAGGTGGTAAACAAATAGATAGTTCAACCATCAACACAGTGAGCCCTGGTCACCTCGTACTAAGACGAAAAGCTGAAGTTTAATACTCTGGATACTTCCAAGGGAGAGACTGCATGCTCTTGCAACAGCAAAAGCTGCTACGTTGCAAATAAAAGTCAAAGTTCTACCAAAATTTTAAAGAAAAAATTGTAGAGAAAATAGCTCAACATTCAAAGTTACACAATGTTTGTTTACAAAGGTTGCCTGGAAGCAATTACTTTTAGTAATAAGGCCGCCCGTTATACCCATCACCTCTACATTAAGTTTTAATTTTTGTTTCTTTCATTTTCGGTGTGCAATAAAGTATATTCATTCATTCATTCAAAGTTACCAGAACCATATTCAGCCGCATTGCTTTTTTTATATGAGAAGTTGGCAAACGAGCTGGCTGGTTCTCTCCCATGATAAGTGATAAACGCCGCCCATTATCATTTGCAACATCCGTAGGGTTGCGGACCTCCTAATAAGGTGGGCCTCAGCACCTCACTCACCAGACGAAACGCAGATGTGTACGTTCTCCCACTTCACGGACCTGCCCACTCGTGCAACAGCGAAGACTGTTACGTGGCCCTGCCACAGCATTATAGTGTTTTTATTTATTTTATGCGAAAAGTTGCCAAGCGAGCAGACGGTTCACCTGATGTTAAGTGAATAACGCCACCCATGGACATCTGCTACAACCGAGGGTTGCAGATGCGTTGACAACCTTTTGAAAATTGGGCTCCGGCCACCTCACTCACCAAACGAAACGCGAAAGTATAATACTTTACGCCGGTCTTCTGTGCGGTCGTGGTACTTACCTGGACGAGCCTGCCCATTCGTGCAACAGCCGAGGCTGCTGCATGGCCCTACCACCGCAGAAGTGAATATTAGAGAATATAATAAATTACAGTAACTTTAATCATTACGGTTTAACTACTGATTAATTTAAGTAGCTCGCAGAAACTCAATTTTCATGACGTCCACAAATATTATGACACGATATGTTGTGATTTATCGTGCTATCGACATGAATAAATTATCACGATTTGACAAATGATTTTGAAACAGACCAATGGTAAAAGTATGTCAAATTAATGAACGAGATGTTCCACATATCCGGACACTGTAAAGCATTTGGATAACGTAATAAAGACAGTACGTGCGTTAAAATTTATCTCGCGTTACATACCAAATATTCGACTTAACCCAATTGAATGCAATATTAATATTTTTTAATAAGTTACCGAATTTTTGTAACGTGAAATTTCTACATGAAAACGTATTGACGGCATATTGTTATATAAATAATATAAAGTTATAAGTTGATATCTAAATATCAATTGGCATTTAATTAGTCATTATTAGTAGATTACTTGGTACTTGGAACTTCAACTTGGTGAATAAAAGATTGATTGATTGTAAATATTGAATATCTTTATCATCATCATATTCCAAATCAACCTAGGTGGTTTCGGCACAACAAGAGAATTGGGTAAGCGGTTTGGGCTATGTTTTTCACGACCAGCCGCCTGCCTGACGTCAACCCTCCTTGGGTAACAAACCCCCGGATCCGGAAATTATCTGTGGGTCACACAAATACTTGTCCCGTGTCGGAATCGAACCCACGATCCCCAACGCCGAAGCCAATGGCTTAGTAACGGCATCAACGAGTAATTAATAGCCAAATTGATAGTAGATATATTATGAAATAATAAAGAGCTAACATAAATACTCGTTTAAACTCAAATTTAGTAGACATTTGACTTTTGATAAAGAATCATATATTTTCTAGCGGTCCGGACAGACGTTGTCCTGTCCGACTACCTTATAAATAAAAAAAATTGTAGTCGACCGAATTGTGAATCTAAACCATTCTTGAATCGACCTGAAGACACACAAAATTTCGTTAAAATTGGTCCAGCCGTTTAGGAGGAGTTCAGTGACACACATACGTACAGAAAAATTATATATATAAATATTAAACTAACTGCGTACATTGCGTGTGGTCGTATTGCTATCCCAACAAGATAATTTGTTAACTGTTTTCATATAGTAAATGCTCGAGTGTAATATTTACACAACTCGAACTAATTCCTCTTCCTCCATCAAGAGATCGTATCTATGCAGCCAGCGGAAATACGTTGGGGCAAAAAAGTGCGAACGCCTCCGAGATTTTAATCCGACATCGGTTTCTCATGAACGTTAACTTTTTACAGCATAAACACTGGATAGATCTTTGTAACCCGGTAGTAAATTTTGACGTTAAGCTCTAGAGCTGAATATCACTAACAAAAAATTCACTGGGATATAATTTAATCCTTGTACCTGGATTTAATTATATTTTATTGGATTAAAAAATATTTTGCTTTAATTTATGATTCGGACAAGCTCATCAGAGCTAGCCATAACAGCTTAAGTCTTCTACAAACAATGTAAGCAGCTAATAAATATCAGAGCAGAGGCTTAATGCCTAAATGCCAAATTGCATCTTCGCTTTGCTTGCAACTTTTAGATGTAACTTAAACAAAAATTTCGCGAACAGATTAATGATAAAAATCCATAGAATGACAGGCGCATTGCTCACTGTTGTTTATTAAAGTAGAAATTTTACCACAAATGTTGTTATCTAAAATGTGTCCGTACTATGGTAATAATTATATATTTATGAAGTATACGGTATAAGGTATTTGCAGAGTTAATACTCCTACTTTTTTTTCGATAACCACCGCGTTTTATGCACGCGGTCTGAATCTCACCGGGCGTCCTCAACAATCATCGTCATATTTTAGTAAATTTAAACAAAATCTTAGCGAATTATACATCCAAACCTTCCAAGACTCACTCCGGCTGTTGTTGAAAAGCTTACCAAAATTCTTTCATTAGTTTTTGAGTTTACTTTGCTTATTGATGAGACATACAGATGCGGTAATCAATTCGTTTTATAGTATCTATTGATATTGAAGGTTGAAAGTCTTCACTTACCGTGTGTCGCTTAGGTCTAAGGTAGTCAATTTGTTTTACAGTATCTAGTGATATTGACGCTTGAATTTTTACTTACCGTGTGTCACTTAGGTCCAAAGTGGGGTCACTCCTCTTTATCTGGCCGATGCAGGCCAGTACCGCCTTGTCACTCTCCACCCTCGCGGCCAACTCCGAAACGAGTATAGGCAGCTGTCTTAGCGCCGGCTTGTCGATGGCGGTGAGGAGAGACTTGTTGTCGATGAGCCGTCTCTCGACATCAGCGTGCGACAGAGACAGCAGCCGTTGGTGGGAGGAGGACGCCGGATCGCTGTGCAGGGTCACCGGAGACTGGGAACACGGGACGCTTTAATCATTCATTAATCCTTGGTGGCTTAACTTGGTGGTAAATTTAAAGGACACTTAATGAATGCACAAGTCCGATAGGTTCAAACATCGTAGTTACCATTTTGCAACAAAGCTCTATTTCGCCTATAATTCCTCATTGATGGGCAAATACCGCCTCAGAAAAACCTTAGAATTACCTTTATAAAGCGGATTATGAATCATATGGCAAATAACAGAAATGACCTGCACAAACGGATTTCAGCTTAGTGGATGTGACCGCAAAATCAATTTGCTAAAAATTTCTGATTTTATCGATACACCACATCACAATTGTGCTAAATTCTTTTTTTGGCCTTCCGTATCAAGGACGAGCTCAGTATTTTCAAAAGATATAGTGATTCCCTTATAAATGTCAAAATTAACATTTTCACAGTTAAGTATTAAGCAGTTGTAAATAACACAAAAATACACACTGTCATATACAGTACTTCAGTTAGTTTTAGATTTCATAAGTGAAAAAATTATGTAAACCATAGTGCAATGTCCACTCGCTAATCATGACTAAAGTCAATTGCGTTAGCAATCTCCGTCCAAATCAGGAAACACACAAATGTTAATCCTCTTAATATGAACCGTAATTTAAAAGACACAACCAATATAAAACGCTGGAAAGGATATAACAATCGATTGCTAACATTGCTTCAATGCTAAAAAACAATGTAGATAATAACATTGAGATTTTAGTCGGTGTGGCTATCAGCCGTTTAGCTTAGTGGCTAGAGCGTCAGGGCGCGAATCCCAAAGACGTGGTTTCAATCCCCACAGCGGCGAAAATCTTTTCTTTATCTTTTTTCTACTAATAAAAATTTTAATACCAATTCCTCCAGCTTGTGTAGCGCCTGCTTAAAGACCTCGACGTGTCGCTGCAGCTCATTCTTCATTGCGATGTGCAGAGAGATGAGAGTACCGGAGGAGTCCGCAGTGAGACCGTGCGTGCCCAAACCTACAATAAATGACACTATCAAACTTTTCCTCGTTTATAATGCATGCAATGCAACGAAACAATTTGCCAGCGTAATACTTTTTGCACTAAATCTGTATAATTCAATGCCGCCAATTTCAATGTGAGGAACTGCCAAGCGACCTGGCGGATCACCCGATTAGTGATAACCACCGCTAATGGACATACAACATCCGTAGGGTTGCAGATGCGTTGCCACCTGTCAATAAAGCGGGCTGCGGCTACCTCGCCCACCAGACGAAACGCAGAATTATCACACTTCCACTTCACGCTGGTCTTCTGTGAGGTCGTGTTACTTCCCCGGACGACCTGCCTGCTAGTGCAACAGTGAAGTCCATTGCGCAGCTCTACCACAGTAAAAGCTCTGACTGACCACTTATATATTTATGCTGTTTTGTTCTTTATGCTAAATGACGAGATTCATATTTCCCCATGTGACACATTTTTTTATTTTAATTTATATCCTGTTACTTCGTAGGTGTCTTCAAGGCAAGAGTGAATAGGTTTCTACTGAGCTAGCGCGCTTACCATCAAAGGCTGCATCGCCACTTACCATCAGGTGGGATGGCAGTCAAGTGCCGGCCAGTTGTAAATTAAAAAAAAACTTTTATTTTATACTACCCCGAATGCAACTTCCGCACCTGTGTTGCCAGGTTAACGTATTTTTTTTTAAATATTGTGCCTCTATTTTCTACCGTAACTTTGTAATATTATTTATAACATAAAATGTCAAAACATCTTTAAATATTGTACTAATGCCTGTCTGAATAGTCTTAAAATATTTCAATTATTTTTAATAAATTAAAGTGCAGTTAATAAATAAAAAAAAAATGAATTAGATTCGATCGTCGATTTGGATTAAAAATTAACAGAGTTATTTGGTAAATCGTTTTATGATTTTTAGCTTATTTGGTTTTGTGAATTTCTCTTTTTTCCGCATAATTTCAAATACAAAGTAATATCCTATAATAACATGCCCATAAAATCAATTCATTATTTCAAATAGAAATGTTTATTAACGATCATGAATTATTTCCGGCTACATCCGGTCAACTTTCACTTCACTTGTCCGATATTCGAGACCCTTTAAATCAAAACGGTGACGTTGGAGCATGAGAAAATTGGACTCGTACACTTATACAGACTGTTAATAGTTTTATTGCCACAGGATATGAAGAATAAACGAATAATTAGTTCGCTTTTCACTGTTGCTATAAAAAATGTCGAATTAATTAAAGAACAAAACATCGACATTGCAGTGATGATATGACGATAGTAACAGCACAATTCTTATGCAAATTTTAACCGAGGTTTGAATCTAACAGAACTAATACACTACTTCCGACCAAAATGTAAATAACAATAATGGCTATGGTCATTATAATAATCACGGTCGAGCCAGATAAGCTGTTTCCTAAATCGCTTGTACCATAAACAAAACAAATATGAATGATAAATGCGAATTATTTAAATGTATAATATAAATCCCTGAAGTTAACTAAGAACTTATTTCAAACATGTCGGCCGTTAGTATCACATCCGCTCGTAAAGGTGAGCAAATATGAACACTTCCCGGTTAATGATAAATTTTTAAAGCGAATATATAAAAAATATCAGCAAATGGATCTATAAGTCGACCTTCGCCAGAGGAAGTGCTTCGTTGCAAACGAATTTTACAATGTAAATGCTGTTGATTCATGAAATTATTTACAACAGATCTGTTTTTCGCAGTTAGATCATTAGTTATGTACTGTTCAATAAACGAACTAACCAAAGCGTTTTACGATGTTTCTCCTCCAGACCGGTCAAAAGTTTTGATGTACCTTGGAATTGAAAGATATTTTGATTCTGCTTTGGCAGGTCCCATTAGGTCTTTTTATGAAGCGAAATCTTTAAAGTATCTATAAAATAATTTCTTAAATTAATTTAACCGTAGAACTGACCAACTTTTGTCAAGAGATTTGTGTTAATTGTTACTAAGAAATTTTATACATACGTTCAGACTCCATAAACATTTTTCGAGATACGATATATGAGTCTATTAAATGAGTGCTACGAATAATAATATCGTATTTCATCGCATCATTATCGTATTTTTTAAACATCGATTTAAAAAAATAATTAAATCGAGCACTTTGTACTAATAATACACATCTTAATGATTTTATGGTATTCAGAAACATGCTAGTGATAAAAACGTCAAGCATTATTTAATGCACCAAGATATTACTTATGCCTTTGTAACTATTTTAACAAATAAGAATACATATACGTATAATAGACAAATATTAGAAAATGGACAAACATTACAATCACATCGACAAGCAAATAAACAATCTGTTACCGCTTACATAAAATCATCTCGGGCTAATTTAGTGAAGAGACGTGACTTAAGATGGCAATTGAAGAGAACTAACATGTTCCAACAACTTTATTGAATTGAAAGGGGGAAAGCTATAATTCCGTGAACGGCCAGACGTTAACAGTAACTCATATGATACTTGCGCAAAAGAAATATAGTCGATAGTTATGCCTAATAAAAGTATTTCAAAATTGGAAACTGTTGTTAAACGATATTATCAATAAATCGTTAAACTAACGATTTATTGATAATATCGTAGAATTCGTATCTTATACGTGAAATTTCATAGTATTACGTACTACATCGTTTTATTTCTTCTTAATAAGTTATTTTATTTGACAAAATTAATAAATTAAAGTTTTTAATTTTATTAAGTAAAGTCCATAAAAATAGTTTGAATTATAATGTGTTATCGCGTATATACAAGAAATTATCAAATAATATTTCGTTTTCATTAATTTTCAATGGATTCTTTTTTATTTTCTGTTGATGTCTGATGTTTTGCAAGAATGGGCAGGTCAGAAGATCGGCGTAAAGTGGATGTTTTATACTTCTGCGTTTCGTTTATTGGGATAACCGGCGCCTATTTTATTACAATGTGGCAACACACGTGCAACCCTACGGGTGTTGCATATGTCCATGAGCGGCAGTCATCACTAAGTTCTGATGAACCGCCAGCTACCTAGCCACCTTCTCACATAAAAAACCCGATTAAAATTGACTATCGCCTATGTTTACTACGTACGTTAAACGTCAAAAGAACGTCTATTTGAATAAAGGTACAACTTTACAAAACGTGTGATATTACAGATGGTTTGTCAACCTTTAAAAGTTCAGACCCAAGTTACCTCACTCAACAAAGGAAGCGTATGCAATGATACTTCCCTAGACGAGCTAGCTCATTCGTGGAACAGCAGAAGCTGCCAAGTGGCTACTATAATAACTAATTTTAGTCCCATCGCTACAACTCGCAAGGGCCAAATCAAACCTTGGACGGCGGAATCTAGCTGTCTCCTTCTGGCATCGACGGCATCTCTAGCATCGGGCGTGTACTGGACGAGGGCGTTCGCAAGCCTGGCGGTCCTCGCGCGCAGACCCGAGCCCTGGTCTCCACCCAGAAGACCCACCAACCGCCACGCGACCGCCTCGCATTGCAGCTCCGGCCGTGGGGTTATCTCCAACGATATCAACCTAAGGACGAGCAAAAGCGATTGATTGATTTAGGCCAGTTCGTCTCGTTCGTTCGATCGAATAATGTGCTTGTTTTGCATTATCCGTTAGATGGCACTGTATATAGAATAGCCATGATAGCCTCTGGACCTGAAATTTATTGCGTAACCACAATTGGTAGAGTTGTTAAAATGTTATTAACGTACGACCCACGAATTTTTATGTGAAAGTTGTCAAGCGAGCTGTTGGTCCACCTGATGTTAAGTGGATACCGCCGCCCATGGGCATCTACAGCACCTTTAAACAAGTGACCCTACTACTACAATCACCAGGCGAAAGCCTGCCAAAGAGAAGATATTTTTTTCGATTCCAACTCTTAATTATTGTTCCGATTTTAGATGGGTCCTCCTGGACCTCTGTGTCCTTGACCATTCATATTCGTGTTTTCATTATTGGAAATGATTGAAACGACAAGCTTTTTACACGAAGATTGGTTATCCATGATTTTCGACCAATGACATATGTGAAACAAGTTAACTGTGAACAAATATGAGCAGCGTATCCCATTACACCTTATTCGTTAACCGAGGTCTGATACATAACATTTCAGACCTCAGTTATATCATAGAAAAATATAGCAAACATTTTCCTTTTTTTTCTCAAAACTATAATACTCTTCCGTGTGACTCGTCGAGTTTACCCGACAGCAGGCTTATCTGTCTGTCTGTCTCCTATCTAAGTTTAAAAAGCTGTCACCCATTGTCCATCGATCTTTTACTCTAACACCTTTTAGTAAGTTATCTTAAATTTTACTTAGCCAATAAAGATTTACTCGTTTCGTTGTAATTACTTCAACTTTATAACATATCCATTATCGTCAGATTTCAAAGTAGTTAAATAAAGCAACTTTTGAGTTTCGCTTTTACGATTTCTATTGAACTCTCTATTTATCCTATCCGCCCACGCGTTTTGATGTTTTTATAAAATACTTCCAACTTCTTAGAATTACACCGGGTGAAAGGACTTTGCATCTAGTGAATGGAACATTGTACTTTGTAAAGGAAATCAATTGCGTATTTCTTTTAACTTTCCCACTACTTTATAGGGTTCCGTACGCAAACGGTAAAACGGGACCCTATTACTAAGACTGCTTTCTGTCAGTCTGTCTGTCCGTCTGTCATCAGGCTGTATCTCATGAAACGTGATAGTAAATAGATTTTCACAGATGGTGTTTTTCTGTTGCCAATATAACAAGAAATGCTAAAAAACAGAATAAAAAATATTTAAGTGGGGCTCCCATACAACAGACATGATTTTCTGGCCATTTTTATAGATAATGGTACGGAACCCTTCTTGAACGAGTCCGACTCGCACTTGTATTTTTTTTTTCTTTTATTGTTCCATTGTATTCTCAACACCCGAATGTGAAATGTGTGCGCCTTTTTAAGAATTTCGCTTCAGACTATTTTCTAGTTCACGATTATGACACTAGATGTGTTAATATTGTTCATTCATTTTACTATTCCTCCGATGATTCCTTTTACTATGATGATGTTGATAAAGACAGGTCAAGGCGAGGCAATTAATCGTCACTTAAACGTATCTAAGTCTCTACACTACAAATTTAATACGTTTTCATACGGTTGTTTTGAAGTTCAGCGGCTTTAAAATAATGTTTTCCAAAAAAAAAAAAAAACAATTGAGCTCTCTAATTGGATCGTCAGCTGTTTGTAATTTGAGTCGACACGACGGGCGACAATTTGACAGTACTTTATTACTCGAGCATGACAACATTAACTTTAACATGGTTGTCTGAAAAACACGACAGTAAAGCTACTTTAGCGTTTCCTTCCACGAGTGAGGTAGCTTAATGTCTACCTGAAGTGTGTTTTTTATGTGAGAAGCGAGTTGGCGGTTCACCTGATGTTAAGTGATAACCATCGACATTTGCAAGACCCGTAGAGTTGCAGATGCGTTGTCACCTTACTTTAATAAGCGGACTCCCGCTAACTCACCGCACGACACGCAGGAGTGTAACACTTCTAATGCCCGGTTCCTATATTCAACGAACGGCCCTTAGTTACATGCTTCGTAACTTTCATAACGACTTGTAGATAAAAGTTGTGTACGCCCGGCTCCTATATTAAACAAAACGAGGAGTTTTCCTTACGAGCCGTTGCATTACCTACGGTAAGTGAGTTTAGTGTTCCTTTAATCTACAAATCGTTATGAAAGTAACGAAGCTATGTAACTAACGGCCGTTCGTTGAATATAGGAACGGGGCATAAACCGGCGGTGTCTGGCCATACCCACGGTTGAACGGAAGATAACAAAAGTCCGTCAATAAATTAACTGCTCATTGTTCTTCAGAAGATCGCAGAACGCCAAGCATGACAGTCAAGTGGGTCGTTTAGCAGCTTTCGTCGTAATTTTCCCAAAGAGTTTTTGTTTGCCTCGAACGAGCGGTGACCCGCCATTGGAACGTACAATTTTTTTTAAACGGTCACATTTCACAAAACCTCAGTGGCTGGAGCCCACCACGAAGCAAGTTAACAAGGCCAAAGTACGAACGAGTGTCTGTTTGTTTTACAATGATAAAACAGTATCAGCGTTTCTCTCGTTGCAAACAATTTACTGCTTAAATAAGGAAGATCCGCGGAAGGAATAAATTTATTACGTAAAACTTATCGTAACATAAATAAGAGTAAACTTTTGTTGTATATAAATATTTAGTATATTATTTTATGCAAATTTAAATCACTTCAAAGTACCGTTTCATGGTTTTGCTCGTGAATGGAAATATTTAAATAGTTTTGAAATTTTAATTGTTCACAAAATATGTTTGTTGACGACTTTAAAGACTTCGTATACGTGAAAGAGGTAAAAAAAAAAAAAAAAAAAAAAAAAAAGAGGTATCTAATACTTATCAGATTTTGTTTCCAGTTAGTGATGCGTATCCAAATATTACTCTGATCGTATAGTGTATTTCAGATTTTAATAACAATTTTTTTTAATTACTTTTCGAAATAAAAGAACAATATAATCACTATTTTAATCAAATGATATGTTAATTAGTGTGTTATTAAATATCTATATATCCATTTATTGCTTTGATAATTTCTATCTGTAACTTAATTTACAACAGTTACTACCTGCATTATGGTGACACAATGATTTCTTTTAACTTAAATTCTGTTATGAACTTCACGAGCACAATTTACTCCACTCCAATCTTATTACAGACTATTTTGCTGTTCTGACGTCATAAGTGAACTATCACTTATGTTGTCACTCAAAGTTACATTCAGCACTTAAATAGCATTAATTTGCGAAGTATAATCTAATACCTACTGAATTATAACAGACTCCATTCAACACATAAATTAATTCGATGCTAATTATCAATCAAACCGCCGCAATTACAATATCATCGACGAACTGATTGGCCTAGTGGATAGTGTAGTTGTATCTTTCGCCAGAGGTTGTGGGTTCGATTCAAACTAAAAATATTGTATGATGGTGTTAGTGTTTTGTAGTACCTATCTGGGTGTTAATATGTAATGGTATATATATATATATATATATATATATATTATATATATATATATATATATATATTTATTTACAAAAGTATGTTTGTCAGTTACCTATAGTACTCATAGTACAAGCTCATAGTAAAAAAAAAAATTACAAAAGAATAGTATGTATGTTTGTGTCCACCATACACAAAAACTAGCCAATGGATTACCTTGATATTTGTTCACAACATAGCTATTGGACAGGGGAGTGTTTTTATATACTTCTAATTCCGAACTTCCAACGGGAGCGAGAAAAACGCCACAGCGAAGCGCGGTCGGGCTCGGCTAGTTTATCACAGCGACTCGTATCACTCCATTGGCGTTAAAACGTGTTCAGAACAAGATTTGGTGTAGTCGGAACTGAGACGTTAAGCGCGAGTAGACGGCCGGTCTGGGCGGACGGTGGTCCAACCTGAGAGGCCACTTTCACTTCCGAAAGTCGATGATACATAACTCACACTCGACGACGCAGCCTACAAGTGCACATTGTACAGGATAATCAGTACACTATAAAACGGAGCAGGCAGAGACTGACTGATCTCGCAAAAAAGCAGAGTTCGAAAAAGTCAATGTTTGGATCAATGATTTCCTTGTAATAAAAGTCTGTGAATTTCATGGCTGTGTTAAGACACTTAAAGATGACTCCGTGGCGAAGTTGTCAAGGTGGTCACTATCGCTTCGACGCCATAGTCGTGAGTTCGATTCCCACACGTGACAACTATGTATGACACACAGCTAATTGTTTCAGATTTGGGTGTTCATCCACGGGATCTCTCATCTAACTTGTAGCACTGTTGAATGACTGGTTAATAAAAATATAAATAAAGAAAAAAAAATAAAAATTTCATTTATTTCCATAATCTTTGTAACATCTTCTTGCCGAGTTTTCCCAGTAAGTTGTCATGGACACTTGTAGTGGGAATAACCCGTAGCGGGTTCCCTTGTGGATATTTAAGAGTATAGATTAACTTACATACTATTTAAACAATATATTATAAAAACAAACATCGCGCGCCGTGTGTGTGTGTGTGTGTGTGTGTGTGTGTGTGTGTGTGTGTGTGTGTGTGTGTGTGTGTGTGTGTGTGTGTGTGTGTGTGTGTGTGTGTTAGTGAGTGTGTGTGTAGTGTGTGTGCGTGTGTGTGTGTGTGTGTGCGTGCGTGCGTGCGTGCGTGCGTGCGTGCGTGCGTGCGTGCGTGCGTGCGTGCGTGCGTGCGTGCGTGTGTGTGTGTGTGTGTGAATAAGCGTGAGGGAGAATGGCAGTGAGCCTGTTCTTTTTTGGGTATGGATTATGAACAGTATTCAGTATAAATGTAGTAGATATAGAGCCTGTTGATTCTCTTTTTTATAGGGGTGCAACCAATGGGGTTATAAGATAGCATGGGGTATATTTTAAGTTTATTGTTCACTCTATTATAAATATAGGCGGACTAGCCAATATATTGCCTTCTAGCAAATGCAGTACGTATAAGGGAGGGTGCCACAATATTCTTCCTTCTTTTATGGCCAAATTTCACATACGTTAGTGATTTTTGGCAGTGAAGGATAATGTTGAGAACATACAGTTTTCTGACTGAGAGGAGACCGCTGATTTTATAAAGACTATCAGTAGGAAACCTATAGGGTTTAGAGCACATGACCTTTATAATAGATCTTTGCGCTCTCTCCAGGTCTAGAAAGTGACTTTTACTAGCACCACCCCAAATCGAGATACAGTAGGCGAGGATAGATTGCACCAGGGCTATGTAGATTTTTTTTTTTATCTTTATTGGACATAACCTGACGTAAAGATTTGAATACCCATGTGAGTTTCCTCATTCGTTTGGTTAACAAATCAAGATGTGAATGCCAGCTGAGTCGTTGGTCCAGTATAATACCAAGGTATTTCGTTTGGTTAACTTTATCTATAGGGGGACAGTTGCAGGTCAGAACACCAGGGTTAGGACAGGTGTGGATTTTGATGTTAAAACTATTATCTGGATGAGATTTATTATAAGAAACAAATGTAATTCGTCTTTTGAATATTCAGTGTTAGAAGGTTTTCTCGAAGCCAGTTCGATACCCTAGTCAAACCCGTCTCAGCCAGTACATGGACTGCATTCCAAGTTTTGCCAGAAAAAACGATAGCAGTGTCATCCGCGTAAGAAAATATTCTTCCTCCCACATTCTGTAGGTTACACAATTCATTTACATATATTAAAAAGAGAGTCGTGACAAGAACACTTCCCTGCGGAACACCAAAATTAACTTTTGCTTTTTCACTAAAATACCTATTTATTTTTACTACCTGGGTTCTGTCCTGAAGATAACTTTCAAAAAGAGAGAGTGCTACATCTCTAACACCTATTTTCTCCAATCTTTGTAAAAGAATAGGGATAGAAACCGTGTCAAAAGCCTTTTTTAAGTGTAAAAAGACTGTCAGGCATTTGTTACCATTATCGACTTCTTTGGTTATAATGTTTTATATAAATGTTTTTATTAAAGGTAAAAATAAAATAAAACGGAAACGTTCGATAGGAAGCTTCATACAAATAAAACCTTTTACGTAATACAATACACCTGTTCCATCGATGGGGGTCAGAGGCCGATCCGTTGTAACGCGTGCTAGCTGTCGCCCGCGGCTTTGTTTGCACTACCGTCGATTGCTCATTCACACATTACGTTGTGATTTCACTTCCGTTACGAAATAATTTTTCGTCGCACGAATAAAAAAGTTAAATCCGATCTTAAGGTAAGTGACAGGTGCCCTGCATGTACATCAGTTGCCTAATTATTAATTGAATCCTTTTTTTATTTGAGAAAGTGGCAAGTGAGCGGGCGGTTCACCTGATGTTAACTGATAACCGCCGCCCAATGACATTTGCAACGCCCGTAGGTTTGCAGATGCGTTGCCACCTTTTAATGAAGTGAGCTCCGGTTACCTCACTGACCCGCCGAAACGCAGAAGTTATAACACTTCCACTTCACGCCGGTCTTCTTTGAGGTTTTCGTACTTCCCCGGACGGACCTGCCCATTCGTGCAACAGCCGAAGCTATTGCGCGGCCCTACCACACCTTCACAGAAGACCGGTGAATAGCAAAAGTATTGATTAATTTTCTTTTAAACATAGACAACGTATATGCAACCGTATGAGTTTTGTGTGACCGTCAGTTAGCTTCTCAACTTACAAGTTTAAAAAAAATGTTAATATGTCGTTATCGCGAAACTTTTGCAATGTTATTTTTGATGAAGTAAATGATATAATATATCTCATAACTAATTATGTATAACCAAAATATAACCTCGACCAATTTCTAATCATTAATATGATTTCTCGACATATTTCTAATAAAAGTCTTTTATGCATTAACAAAGACTAGACAATAACAAGCACTTTATCGTAAAGGTCCATGTAAAGACTCAATTTTGGAGTAACGAAACGTAACTAGTAAGTCACTAGTAAAGTAAATTAGCAACCTATACATGTCCCACTGCATGGTCCACCACGCGGACCTACTGCGGACTTCACATATCTTCGAAAAAAAAAATTTTGTTATTATTCCGAAAATAACACCGCTGAGCACGTGATATCAGCATTAAAAATTACAATTTCCTAGTTGTCAGCACCGGGGATCGAACTCAGGCTACTTAAACTAAATGCGAGCGCCCGAACAATGACCTATCTCGGCTATTTCACTGACACCATTCAGACATGGAGTTTAAAAAAGAATTAACCTTCAACAATAAAAATCGAAATACGTAGATGAATTGTCTAAAAGCCTTCTAAATTACATGATGATAGATCAAGCGAGCAGACTTTTAAACTACTTTTAAAGAAAACAGTTGCCCCTGAACAGTGTTCAATATTCAACAATTATCATTAATTATTCAGATAATAAACAACTGGTAGCAGTAAGCGTTACTGCATGCTCTCATAAACATAACACTTGTAAATAATCCCGGACTTGTGCGACCGTGAAGTTTCATGTACGATGAGAGTAACTAACCTAATTATCAGGGATTTGCTATAATCGAGTGGGCTGGAGTATTTAGTTGGTTACTAACCACATGGTTTCTCGGACTCGCTTTAAGACAAAATATAGTATTGTTCAAGACGCAAGCTTTTCCATTTAACGCATTCACTTAAGTAATATTTAACGTTTAAATAAAAATATAAAAGTGCACAAACTACTGTGACGCTCTAACCACTAAGCTAAGAGGTTGACATCCCAGCCGAGGATGACGAAATTCCTCTTATCTATAGTGCTTTTAATGCATTTTTAGCGATGCTTGCAATAAAATTTTCTCGGTGCTCACCACAATATCTACTATCAGCTCTTCCATGCCTAATTTCCCCTGCCATTCAGGCTTTAAAGCCGTAAGAACTTATTATTCAAACGTGATTACATACGCTGATTTGCCTACCTGTTTAATAAAGTTTCTATCAAATGCGCGGAATGAGGCAGCGCTTCCACCAGGAGGTCTATCGGCAGTTCTGATGCGACGCTTTGCAGCACGCCAGGCCCGAGCCTGGCCAAGATAGCGGCCGCCTCCCGGAACTGCCTGCCTTCGGCGAGCAGCAGAACTCTCCTGAGTGCTAGACGGGGAGAGGTGTACGTGTTCTTCTCTCTCTCCCTCTCGCGTCTAATGCGTTCGCGGCTCTCGTTCATGCTGGCCATTGGTACGGCACTAGCCCATTATACTGTTCGGACTGCAGATGAAGGCAAGTCTTGGACCTGAGAATAGAGAATATTCTGTAAATATAAATTCATTAAACCTTTTGATATAGATGACGGGCATTTTGATAATATGAAAAGTGGTCTGACGAAGAGGTGGTTTGCCTGATACTCAGTGATATTCGCCAGATTTGATGATGACATCCGAGTTGCAGATGCGTTCTCAACCTTTACAAAGGAGGCATCTTTTAACTCGCTCACCAATAGAAATGCGTAAATATAACTCTTGCCCTACAAGTCGCTCTTCTGTGAGGCCTTGTTACTTCCCGAACGTGAATGCCTACTCGTAGAATAATATAAGCTGCTGCAGAGTGCTACCAAATACTAAATACTGTAGCAATGGAAGGGCGGATCCAAGAGGTCTTATTGTATCATGCTTATGATCTGATTAGGAGAGTAGTTGGCCGTAAGGTAAGGTTAACAAAAGGTAGGTGAGCTTAAGGTAGGTGCAGCTAGATCAAACATGAATAATATCCAGATCTCTACTCTCCAGTATACTTGTTAAAATATAACGATGACCTACTCGTAGCAACCTGGTCTTGTCATGGTCTGGTGTTGTTTGATAAAAACAGAAGATCATCACGGAAAAGTTTCATTTCCGACATCATCTACTCAAACTAATCGCAAACCCACACGAAGACGTTACGACATACTCATAACATTCTCATAATCATGCCAATAGTTTAACAAAAAATTATCTCTCATAAATGTCAGTTACCTAATCATCATTTCTGACATTCGAATGCAAACTGAACTGAAACCGATGATTAACAACACAATTATTACGCAACACGCGTGGTTCCGGTGAATGTATGTGAACTAGTAAGGAGGTAAAAGTAAAAAAAAAAACTACTCCCGCTAACGTGTGTATGTAATAATATATGTACTAGATTTGCAGAGAGATACGATTTGGACAAAATATGAATGAAATACAAAAGTTAAAGGTTGTAAGTACAATAGTTGGCTGGTAAGAAATATGTAGTCGTTACGTCGTTGATGTTGATGGAAACTGCAGCTTAATACAAAGATTTATTGAATTTAAATTTTCATGGCATATGTTATATCCCGCCGTCGACATAAGTGCCGAAGGGAATCATAATCAAGGAAGAACTCGTATAATACATATGATTAACTAATAAAAATACCGCATTTTTATTTTATTGCCTCGAAGTAGTAGAATATAGGCTACTTCCTAACAGCAATGCTCATGTAAACTTTGATTACGTACTTGACAAGTATATAACCAAAGGTACATTTTTCTTATTATCTTTACTTTTATTGAGTTTTTATCTATAAAGATACGCCAACCTCATCGTAACTTATAAAGATTACAACAACTTACGAAATACTAATCAAAGGTACATGAAAACGTTGATTTTAACATTGAGAATCAAATTTTATTTTTAACATAATATAAAAAAAATTTATAACGCGCAATATATAAATAGTTTATAAATTTCATTTCATTTATCTCTGCGCTAGTATCAAGAGGTCTGTTTCCTTTTTCGCTCAAAAGTAAAGCATCACTCAATGTGGACCTGGTTTATTAGATAACATGTAGTTTAAATATATTTAATATTGAAAATATTTACAAATGAAACAATTTTTACGGATTTATCGCGTTTATGCTTAATTTTAATTCCCGACGTTTCGAACCCCTTACAGCATTCATGGTCACGGGACAAACTGAACTGAAGTGTTGGACGTCTAAATGTCAAAGGTAACCCTGGCTACCGCCAGTTTCTTAAATTATTCATTTTGAGTCCGATCTTTGAAAATATTGTAAATATTTTTGTTAAAAAAAGTTAAATTAAAATTTAAACGTGTATGACGTTTTAAAATTTTTTATTAATGTTCAATTTGATTATATACCTACATCCGCTACCCCCTACTGATAGAAACTTTTATTTAACACTTACAGAAACCCGCGCGCTTTGCTGAACGTAACATAGTTAAATTTATTAATGAATACTCATTGAATTTGGACTTGAATGTTGGTAGATAATACTCACAAGTCATTAAGGCAAGGAATAGGGCCATACATACATAATATGTATGTTATACACCGTTCAAAGACATAACTTAACCACACAATAATGGCCTTTACAATGGACACCATACGCGTATTCATAACAAAAATGTCTATTACACAAAACGTTGCCCAATTATACACTCATTGAATTGATTATAGCCTACATACTTATTATTGTGTTATTACTACTTTTTCTATTATTATTCCATTGGCCGATACATCCATGATCGCCAGCAAGTAAAAGTTGTACAAACCGATTTGCAGTTAACGACGCTATAAAGATAAACAGCAACACATTTTGCAACATTGAGACCGATATATTGGAAACGAATTTAACTATCACTCAAGTATCACAGCAGCCTCATCCAATACATTGATTGCATTGAAACCGCATCTATAACGCGGTATGAGTACGGAAAACGTTTTACGCTCCAAGGCTTTTAACGATGATCGTTCTCTACGTTCTAAATATGTGATGTTTAACTTTAATTCCACAGCTTTAGTGCGGTTATCAGAATATTGTACATAACTATAGTAACATAGCCAACGTTTCATAATATTCCCAGGTTTCCGGTTGAAAACGGGTCATTAAATTAGTCACAACGACGGCCTCGTCTAATAAACGGTCAAATCGATATAATTCGAACTCTAAAAAAGTGGTCCGTAATAAACAAGGAATGGTCATAAATGGTCAATGGTTTTTAGTTATTGGTCAATACTCTGACACTAACTACAGAGAGTTTAAAATTATAAAGTCATCGGAAAAATTTTGGCGATTCAAATTAATCCTAGAGATCGGATCTAATAATATTTCAATTGGTCACAATTGGTCAATTAATTTTGATAATTTGTCAATTGGTTATTTTATGTATTAATTAGAAAAAACCGTACAACGTAAATACGGCATAAAAAATCATGTCTGTTATATGGGAGCCCCATTTAAATATTTTGTTATTCTATTTTTTAGTATTTGTTGTTACAGTAGCAACAGAAATACACTAAATTAAATGAAAATTTCAACTGTTTAACTATCACGGTTCATGATATACAGCCTGGTGCCAGACGGACAGACAGACAGCGGAGTCTTAGTAATAGGGTCCCGTTTTACCCTTTGTATACGGAACCCTAAAAATTGGAATAAATCTAAGTTATAACAAATCTATGTAACTCTAACCTCCCATCAAACGGGTGACAAAGCTTACCGCCGCATGCCTTTTTGAATCAACCGTTACCAATCAAATCAAAGCGGTAAAAGTCCGTCACCGGTTTTTTGCCTTGACATTGTCGGACGTTATTTCCCGTAATGACCGCCCGGGGCATTGTTAAGTTGCGGCGCAAGTAGTAAGCGCAAGCGATTGCGACATAAAACAATTATTTTATTTTAATTCATCTTAAATTTATATTATTTGGAAGTGCCAAAACTTCAAGTCGTCCATTCGGCGTTCTTACTCCGTTCCGTTTCCTCTTTAAAATTTACAATACTTTTTTTTAATATACAGCCACTTTAAAAAATTTGTAGGTAGTAAAACAAAGTACACAATTAAAACCTGTCGGTATAGATCGTGTTCTCTGTTATAATCATTATAAATTAAACATATAGTAATTAGGAAATTGTCATGCCACTGAATACTACTGAATGTCAGCGTTAAATTTAAATTAAATTAAATTTAACAAAGTTATTGTTATGTATACAGATAAATAAAACTGGAGTGTCTGTATGTAATATTAAAATAACCGCTTTTAACTAAATGCATGTAAAAAATAACATTTTTTACAATTTTTGTCTGTCTGTCTGTCTGTTTGTTCCGGCTAAACTCTGAAACGGCTGGACCGATTTGGACGGGACTTTCACTGACAGATAGCTGATGTAATAAGGAGTAACTTAAGCTACTTTTAGTTTAGAATTTTTTTTATTTTTTATGGGTCGCTTGCGGTCTTTGAGGGTATTCGGTTAGCAGCTTCGCTCTAATACAGGACTTGACATGGGCGAATGTAAAACGAAATTAACGTCAGAATAAATGATATTTAAGACGCGTCGATTGCATTTGTTTCAATGTCATCTATACATCTATACAGTTAAATAAAATTGGAGTGTCTGTTTGCAATGTTAAAATAACCGCTTTTTACTAAATGCATATGCATGTATACACGGTACATATACCAAAATAACATTTTTTACAATTTTTGTCTGTCTGTCTTTCTGTTTGTTCCGGCTAATCTCTGAAACGGCTAGACCGATTTGGCAGATAGCTGATGTAATAAGGAGTAGCTTAGGCTACTTTTATTTTAGATTTTTTTATTTTAAATTCCACGCGGACGAAGTCGCGGGCACAGCTAGTCCTTACTAATATTACAAACGCAAAAGTTTGTATGTATGGATGGATGTTTGTTACTGTTTCACGCAAAGACTACTGAATGGATTTTAATGTAACTTTACAATAATATAGCTTATACATCAGAATAAGACATAAGCTATAATTTATATACATATTTTAGGTATACTTGTCTTTCCGTCTAAATGTTAAGCCTTAAGCCTATTCTACGCAGAGGTAGTCGCGGGCAGCAGGTTGTATATAATATTTTACTTACGAAATCGCATAAATTACTCGTCGGTTACGATTAAAATTTGTAGAAAAAGTAAGAAAAGTTTATCGCCGCTGTGTTTTATCGTATCGGCAGCGGGTATTGTTTCCGCTTAAACTTGTTGTTATAAATTTGCCTTATCGCTTATCTCCTATGCCATAATACCTCTAAATCTACTCGTCGATCTTCAATATGAATATGTACGCCGCTTTTCGCTTAACAAAGCCTTTCATGTCACTCTACCCAAGCGTCGATTAGAATCGCGTATTAGCGGGAATACGCGATTCTAAAAATTATTTTCGGTACACGATGTACCTTTGTCATTTTG